ATTCAATGACCTACATTTACTTAAAGCCAGTTTTGACTCATATTTTACTGTAAATATCCCTTTTTGTAGAAATTCAAAAGGCCAGGTCATCTGGGAGTCTCCACTCCTAAAGCTCTCCACCATCACCCCAGTGAATCTTTGCCTGATATTTTGATGCCCGCTCGCTTCTTTTATCTATATCATTATTTCTTAAAATCTTCCGGTAGATGTGGCAATTTTTATTTATGGCTGTCTCTAATTGGAATGTTTTGTTTTGCTGCATAAATAATGAAATGTATGTCTGTTAACTGAATTAACATGTCCCAATATTAAATGGCTTCTTTTTCTAAAAAGGAAATAAATCTATTGTTAACCACATGTTGTTACAAATGTCAGGTTTATTTTGAAACCTTCTTCCTTTCTTCTGCATATTAAATATAATGGTATCATTTAAAATTCTTTGGTAATCAATTTTGTCAAGTATTAAATCTTTAAAATTAAGCTCCTTTTAAATTGTATAAACTTTGACGTGTTAACAGTATTGAACTGGGAGTTGTACTGGATACTTATTGTGGCAACAAAGGCCTGGTCATGTATAATTAACAAGAAAACGGTTGAAATTTCTATACACAAAGTACATATTTACTTAATGGATTTTTTTCATTCTATATAAAACAGACAAAATAGACTGCTGCAAAGTTCAAGCATTGAATGATTTGATATAACATTGAATAATATCAAGTTACCAAAACACACAATGAAAACATTAATATTAGATAAATCAATGATGCCTGCTTTATGATTTTAAATAGAAACATTAAGATCAAAGAATTTTAATGTCTTAAAGATGAATTATAAGACTATTTTGTTTACTATTACTGTTATAGATTTATGACATAGCAAACCAACCCTTGTAATTAAGTATCCAAGATGGTTAATATCACCAAAAAAAAACAATTAAACTTCTGAAAATAAATTTTGCAATATAAATTGCACTGACACAGGATTAAGTGGTCAGTGATACTACTTATTGTTGGTTATTAAAATGTCCTTCTTTAATATGTTAAAGTGGCGTTATGTCCATCCAAGGGTTACACAGTGAGTGAACAGGTGAAAATCAAAATAAGTTTGCACCTTCCAATTTTATAATTTACTTTGCATGAGCAATAAATAACTCACACGGCATAAGAGATGTCTGTAAATATCTATCCGAATTGCAGACATTTTATATTTTAGTTAGATTTATATTTTATCCTAAACATTTTCTAATATCAACTGGTGGTCAAGCACTATTATAACAGACCATCTTTTTAAATATATTGTCAATAAATCTCAACTTGACAATGAAAAAAGGAGCATAATGTCACTTTAAGTATATATGTATGCTTACATATATTTTCATTGTGTTAATATCAGAATCAATTAAGATGGAGCAAAATTAAGCTTTCAGCTTCAAATATATTTTAATTTTGTTATTATTTTGTTGCCAATAAAAGCAATATTCACTTTCTATTACCTGTTACTTTTTGCGACTGTTAGACTTTGAGAAAGGATTGATAATCAAACAATATCTAAACCGTATCAATAATTTCAAATTAATTGGCTGAAAAAACTATTTGTTCAATCGATATAAGACTTGGTCATTTCAATCATATTCTGTTTATCTAACAATTAATAAACAAAACACTGATCATTGGTTGATCGATACCATCTTCAGTCATAATAGGCTGTACAACATGTTTTAATCATCTATAGAAATATGATCAATAATATGTAAGGCAATCGTGATCACATATTTAACATTCTTGTATTAAACTAGGTAACAAACATTTAATAATAACATTAAAGGTACTTCTAATTATAAATGATTTGAAATACTTTTAAAGCAGTTTAATTCAATAACTTTTGCATGATAAGCATTTAGGCTTGTATTAATAATGGTTGAGGCTTGAAAAGAGTTTTAAATAATTAATAAAAAGAACATATTTTTCAAACTTGAACATTTTAAGTTTTAAAGTTTCTTAATAATTGTATCATTCTGATTCCTTTGAAACTTAAAATGTTGTATTTCTTCTATACTGGTGAATAAGTTTCCTTTACAACCCCTTATTTGTGCTTTTTGCATTTGAAGTTTGAGGAGAACCTACACTATCTAATTTGTTAGGTACCATGGTATTAGACACTTAAAGAGATTATTTGCCTTTAGGCAATACCGTTACTTCGAGAAAGATTTCTAAATTAAAGACCTCATTCAATAAAGACACTTAATTCTGTTATTGGAACAGGGTTAATTAAATATATTCATGACCTCATGTCCTTTTCATATTGTTTAAAAGGGCCTTACTAAATTATGATGGTTTGTAATTGCTAAAACAGGCCACTCTGATTCAATTCACTTAAATATTGTGGATGTAAAAGCCCAAAGATAGAGATTATGGTGAATGCCCATAGAGAATTGTTAATTTACATTATGTTGTATTAGTCAAAATGTTGTTTTCTATACAAAAAAAGAGTTACATACAAAAATTAGTTTAATAGCATGCAGTTTACATACTATAAAGAACTGAGGGTTCAATGCTGAGTAAAGAACTCAAAACTCAGTTTCATTTTAAAGACAAAAGAATCACAACAGAAATTGCAGCATGCATTGATGATTTGTTGTGCTTATATATTTTGTTTATTGTACTAATGGTATATGTTTGTTCTGTCCTTTTGGCAAGCTAACAGAAGTATATATATTTTGTTTATGTGGTGTTAATCAAACACACATGACAAATTATTTGCTGAGGCAACAACTTTTATACTTCATCACTGGACATAAACTATTCTTCCCTGCTCAATCTGTGTAATCGACTTGCCCTATCTTGAATTTGGAACAGTCCATTTTTATTTCAAGGTACTTGCCTTACCTTGAATTTGGAATAGCCATTTTTATTTCAAGGTACTTGCCCTACCTTGAATTTGGAATAGCCATTTTTATTTCAAGGTACATGCCTTACCTTGAATTTGGAACAGTCCATTTTTATTTCAAGGTACATGCCTAACCTTGAATTTGGAACAGTCCATTTTTATTTCAAGGTACTTGCCCTACCTTGAATTTGGAATAGCCATTTTTATTTCAAGGTTCCCAGCATAAAACACTCATATCTGCATGGTCTATATATATGATCAGACAGTATTTAATTTGTGGGCTGGCTGTCAGCTATTATACTGGGGATGAACAGACCTATCATTATCCTTCCCACAGTCCTAAGATGGTCATTATAAATATAAGTTAAGCAAAACATCAGTTATTTTAGGTAAACTGAGATTATCTGATGGTTATTGTTCTTGGTAATTGTCTTTCTATATTTATATTTATTTACGAAGACTAGATTACCTGATCATTTATTTTGATAGTTGACTTTGAATAATCAATTGGAGTTCAATTTATGCAAGAGTATACAATAAAAAAGAATCTATGATGAAAATTTGTTAATATTTTCAGACATTTATACATGGCATTTGTGTATATTGGGACAACAGTCAAATCTTTAGTCTAAAACATTTCTTTCCTGACCTTTACGATGATCATTTAAAGCATTAAAACTTCTTCTCATTTATGTAAAGTAGATTTTGTATGTTGCTGATTTTACTTGCACAGGTTTGACAGTCTATAATGTTGTCTATAAGATTACCTAGTACTAGGACCAAAGTATAGAGGCCCATAGATTATTAAGATCAATACTTGATCAATCAGTTTTCATTATAGCACTGCAGGGCTCACCACAAACTTAATTGGGCAGAATAAAGCCATTCAATAAGCCGGGTATAAATGTTGTGATGATATATGATGCATGCAGATTCCAACTTGTACTCTCAATATGTGTAGCAGGAACTGTTTAATCAAATTTTACAGACCCACGTTCAATAATTACAAGCTTCATTAGCTTTAAAATTTAATTAGATCTGTTATAAACAACCTAATCCTTAATAGGACCTTCTGTATTATGATAAAATAAATGTACAAGTTGGTAAGTATTTAATTGGAGTTCTTTATAAAGCTGTCCCTTGATATTTTAAAGTAGCATGCCAGCAGATTTATGCTAATTTTATGAAGTAGAAATTTTGTTATAAATACTGCTAAATTAGTCATTAAACACAAAAAAAAAATGTGTAAGATTACTTGAATGTTGAACCTTTTTAATTTTTCCTAAAATGTAAGAACATTTTTCTCAAGTTTGATTCTCTTGAAATATTTTGGCTCATCAGCAAGCTATTTCATCTTTCTGTATTTGAGCATATTTGTTAACGTCATTATCATAGGCCCTATTTATATAACTGCCCTCAGCAACTATTTCTCTATACCTGAAGTTAAAGATTGTTAGAATTTTAAAGAGCACCATTGATTAGAAATCTGGTCTGTAGCATTGGTGTTTAACTTTGTTGAAAATATTTTCATTAACCTTTGTCAATAAGGGGGAATTCTTTACAGGCTTGGAGGCCTTCATAGCACCACAATAGCCTTAAGTATATTGAAATTCAAATCTGGAAACTAAAATTTATTCTTGGCAGTAATTTACAGAAAGTTTATATACAGAAATAGTCAATATTACACAATATATAAACTCTGCACATAGTCTCTCTTTTAAGAAAGTAACAATGTATCTTCTTTTTTTCTTTAAATCTCCCATCATCAATTTTCCAAAGTTAAACCAATATTTCTTAATATCTTTCTTTTTTTAATTTTGAAAATTTTTCTTTAATATATACTGTATATTATAATAAATAATGCACATGTTCAACAATATACATTTATGTGAATATGACAAATGTCCAGGTTTAAAAACTTTGATTTTTTCCAAAGAACAATTTGAAACCAGATGATCAGATGGATTATAGTTTCTCTTACTTAAAGGTGTTTTTTTATTACATTGATTTTTGAAAATTTTCTATTACAGTTGTTGCCCAATAACTATCGAAAGTCTCATAGATTCTCTGCTATCATTATTTTAATCATATCTTTATTTATATATTTTCAGACTTTCTGCGTGATTGCTCCTAGATTCAAGAAAGAATACATCTACCGTTTTTCATCGACGCCATCGTTCTACTTACTGAATGTGTGGAATCCATTCCGTCGGTTTTGTGTGTACATTGCCACAAATCAGTATTTTGACTATTTGATTATAACAACTATTCTCACAAACTGTATATTTCTCGCAATGCCATCCTCTGATGCAGCTACCATTTCCGAGTAAGTATTATTCTATCTTAAACTCCCTTCCTATCAGATAAGACTTGTTATATAATTAATATGGCATTGTCAGTCGTTTATTTTGCCAAATTAAATTCATTGATTTAATTCTATTCTCCATTAGGAAAATAATACAATAAAATTTAAAAACAAGTTTAATATAAGCAAGTTAAGGTCACTAACAAAATTTATCATGCATTTTATGAAAAGTACAGGTGCTGATTTGTGCATGAAGATACAGTAATAATTCAGAGAAAAAAGAAAAAAAGACAATTATTTTCTTAATTGAATCAATAGCAGAATGCTACTGTTGATTGTTTCATGCAACTGACTGTTTAATTAACAGCCACACATACTGAGTAACACTGGCATAATTTGCTATAAATTAACCTGCACATAAATATAATCCAAAACATAAGAAATGATACCATTTCATTATATATACAAATGGTGTCAATTTAGTCATGGGAGATTACTCTAGCAGCATATGGAGATATGTAAGTCATTATAGGAAAATTGATAACATGAAATTCAAGTTATTATAATTTTTTTGACAATGCACATTTGATTAAATCTTTGTTATATTTTCAATGATTATGGGGATACATTTTTTATCTAAAGACTAAGGCATACAGGTATCAACCCTTAGACACGTCTCTGTAGTGCTAAGTTGAATATATTGTCTTTCGGTATATGATATTAATTGTATACTAAGGATTTATGTAATAAAACTAATGAAGAGCAAATGTTGAAATGCAATTATGTGGCTGTAAGAGTGGGAAAGTATTTAATGTGTAAGAAATGTATTTTGTGATATATATACTGAATCATAGCTATTAGTTATCGTATCTTTGTTCTATAAATGTGTGCTCCATGCAGAGACAGTGCCTTTCTCTCTCTGGTAATGGTGTCATTGTAACTAGTTTGTGTAATAATGATAGTTAAAAGCTAAAATCTCCACCTATATGAGTTGCAAATGACCTGGCAGAAAGTATGGTTACACTTAAACACTTCTGGTAATACTTCATCCAATAATGAATAATTTAACCCCTATAATTTAAAACTCATTCATTCTCAGGTTGCCCTGATTATATACAAAGCTTTCATATAGTTTTTAGCTCGACTATTCGATAAGAATAAGTAAAGCTATTGCAGTCACCCAAGCGTCGGCGTCGGCGTCGGCGTAACCACTTATGTTAAAGTTTTTGTAATAGTTCAAATATTTTCAAAGTCCATTGACATATGGCTTTGAAACTTTGCACACTTGTTCACCATCATGACCCCAACCTGTAGACAGGAGGAGGTAACTCTATCAAGCATTTTGACAGAATTATGCCCCTTTTTCGACTTAGAATTTACGTTAAAGTTTTTGTAATAGTTCAAATATTTTCAAAGTCCATTGACATATGGCTTTGAAACTTTGCACACTTGTTCACCATCATGACCCCAACCTGTAGACAGGAGGAGGTAACTCTATCAAGCATTTTGACAGAATTATGCCCCTTTTTCGACTTAGAATTTACGTTAAAGTTTTTGTAATAGTTCAAATATTTTCAAAGTCCATTGACATATGGCTTTGAAACTTTGCACACTTGTTCACCATCATGACCCCAACCTGTAGACAGGAGGAGGTAACTCTATCAAGCATTTTGACAGAATTATGCCCCTTTTTCGACTTAGAATTTACGTTAAAGTTTTTGTAATAGTTCAAATATTTTCAAAGTCCATTGACATATGGCTTTGAAACTTTGCACACTTGTTCACCATCATGACTCCAACCTGTAGACAGGAGGAGGTAACTCTATCAAGCATTTTGACAGAATTATGCCCCTTTTTCGACTTAGAATTTACGTTAAAGTTTTTGTAATAGTTCAAATATTTTCAAAGTCCATTGACATATGGCTTTGAAACTTTGCACACTTGTTCACCATCATGACTCCAACCTGTAGACAGGAGGAGGTAACTCTATTAAGCATTTTGACAGAATTATGCCCCTTTTTCGACTTAGAATTTACGTTAAAGTTTTTGTAATAGTTCAAATATTTTCAAAGTCCATTGACATATGGCTTTGAAACTTTGCACGCTTGTTCAACATCATGACCCCAACCTGTAAACAGGAGGAGGTAACTCTATCAAGCATTTTGACAGAATTATGCCCCTTTTTCGACTTAGAATTTACGTTAAAGTTTTTGTAATAGTTCAAATATTTTCAAAGTCCATTGACATATGGCTTTGAAACTTTGCACACTTGTTCACCATCATGACCCCAACCTGTAAACAGGAGGAGGTAACTGTATCAGGCATTTTTTTTACTATCAAGCACTAAGAATAGTCGAGCATGCTGTCCTACCGACAGCTCTTGTTATAATGTGTATTTTATTTTTTCTGGCCAAAATGTTCCATTATTTGCAATTTGACAGAGAGTTATTAATTACAAAATTTTAATTGTTACCTGTATCAGAAATATTTCAATGGTCAAATGTCATTTAAAATAAGTATGATAATGACAGTGTAACAGAATACATAAAGCCATAAACTTTAAGCTGAATGCATTTTTAGCTCGACTATACGAAGTATATGGAGAGCTGTCCTACTCGCCCCGGCTTCCGCATCCAGATTTTAGATTAAAGTTTTGGTGCAGTAAAATATTTTTCACTATAACTTTGTCATTTCTTAAGGTATCAACTTCAAACTTCAAATATATGTTCCTTATCATCAACCACATTTTATGTGACAAGGTTCATAACTCTAGCACCAATATTTTCAGATTTATCTCCCCTTGAACTTAGAATTTTCCTTAAAATATACTATTTTTTACTGTTACTTCTTTATTTCTTAAGGGATCAATTTGATACTTCAAATATATGTACCTTATCATCATCCCCATCTTATGTGACAAGGTTCATAACTCTAGCACCAATATTTTCAGATTTATCTCCCCTTGAACTTAGAATTTTCCTCAAAAAATGCTATTTCTTACTGTTTCTTCTTTATTTCTTAAGGGATCAACCTCATACTTCAAATATATTTACGTTATCATCATCCCCATCTTATGTGACAAGGTTCATAACTCTAGCACCAATGTTTTCAGATTTATCTCCCTTTGAACTTAAAATTTTCCATAAAAAATATTATTTTTTACTGTTACTTATTTTTTTCTAAAGGGATCAACTTCATACTTCAAATATATTTACATTATCATCATCCACATCTTATGTGACAAGGTTCATAAATCTAGCACTAATATTGCAAGAATTATCTCCCCATAAACTTAGATTATTTTACTAGAAAAATGTTATTTTTTATTATAACTTTTTTATTTTTAAAGGTATCTACCTCAAACTTCAAATACTTATTCCTTATCATCAATTACATTTTATGTGACAATGTTCATAACTCTTGAAGCAATATTTACAGATTTATCTCTCTTTGAACTTAGGATTTTCTTTAAGAAATATAATAACTTCTTTACTTTTTAAGGTATCTACTTCAAACTTCAAATATATATTTCTTATCATTACACAAATGTTGTGTGACAAGGTCCATAACTCTAGCATGACTATTTCTAGAATTATTCCCCTTGATCTTGGAATTTATGTTAACAAATGTTATTTTTTTACTATAACTTAATACATAATTATACATAATTGATTTTTCTTTCATAGTTTTGTCCTCCTTACTGCGTCCAGTATTTTATTAGTCGAGCTTCGCTGTCTCCTGTGACAGCTCTTGTTTACAATGTATTGTTAATATTGAATAGACCAAACACCTAAGTGCTTTATTTAATTTAAAAAAAAACGCATGTTTAAAAGAGTAATTTAGTTTCTCAATAGCTTAATTAAGATTGGGATTTCACAAAATCAATATTTCTGCAAATTAGAGGTATGAATTTTATATATTTTACATGATATATAATATATTATACATGAAGCTGTTCTATAATTACTGTAAAAATGTTGCAAAATAATCATCTCACATTCTGTACCTAAATTGTATCTTTTTACCTTTGAAGAAGTTTTTATATGTGTTACTTATTCTTGGATGCCTGTCAAAGTAATTACCATAACATACATAATGTACATACTTGACAACCGTATATTGTAAAGAGTTATCTCCCCTTTATACTGTTCTCTATGCATTCATTATGCATACTGGTATTTGTAGATTATAAAAAACAAAAGAGATTAACTAAACAATCTGGGAACTGTACAAATGTTATAATTTAATGATTATACTTTTTGCTACTTATATCTATTTTTGATGTATGAACATGACAATTATGTTTTTTGTAAAGCACAGCAGTTTACTTGTTTAGGTGACTAATTGTTTATAAAATAGATTGACTCAGTTGCAAAGTAATAGGAATAAAGGGTTGACCATGTATCACTAATTTCTTCACAATATCCATTCAATGACCCTCTCCCACCCACCCACTTTCCTTGCGAAAACAAGAGATTCATACTCCTTAAAAAATGAGTTTCTTTTCCTTTTTTTGTAAAAAATTAACTTATTCGCAGACAAGAAAATGAGAAAATGTAAGAAGGAAATTATGTAAGAGAGATTGAGAGACATTATGCAAATGTCTTATATGTTGACAGCTCTGATGTTCCATGGAGACCTTATGAATAGAAAATCTTATCTAATGTTTGGTATCACAGAGTCTGTCTATTGTCTCTCTGTCTGTATATTATACAGTTGCAGTTTTTGTTTGTTTTACTTTCACGAAAAATAAAAGGAATCATATTTCTCAAATTCTGATGCATCTTGCTGTTTTATGATGGAAGATGACAAAAATAATAAAACTTTATGTCCAGATGTCATAATCTGACTGAAGCACATGATGCCTGCATTTTACTTTACTCATAAAAATGTCATTTTAGGCCTTAATGCTTACTAAGGGAAACATATTCTAAAAGTTAAATGATAACGTAAAAAAAAAATAATTTCAAAGTGTCTAGTCCGGTTTTATTTGTCTTAAGACAGAGTTTATATAGGTTAGTGACAACTGATAAGTTTTAGTGACTTTTCATAACAGTGTTGTTGAGAAAAGCTGTTAACCATGGCATAATGCTCTTTTGATCCCTGTTTTTGCAGTAATTGCTATTTTTAGATTTACAGGATACTAATGGCATTTATCAATTATTTGCCGTTTAAAATGTACACAAATTAGTTTTTGAAATCAATAAAAAAGAAAGGAAAGATTCCATCTCAGAATTGTAGAATAAAGAACATTTATTTTTGTAGAATTATACTATCATTTACGATTCATCACATACTCAGTATGATGGGGATTGTGAAATGTTTTATTTAGTTTCATCCAAAGCCACATAATTGTTGAAAGTTTTGTAATTATAACCATGCAGGGAGCCAGTCTTTGTATATCATTGTACAAAATCAAGTTGTTACATTTTTGTCAATTCAAAATTTGATGGTATTATAAGATAATGTTATAAAAGTAGGTGAGTTGGCCTTGACTGAGACTTGTGCATGAGCCAAATTGTACAGATATATAAATAAGATAACTAATTGATTTAAATTATTAAATGGTGTATGATAGATGCATGATGTAACAATAATATAAGTATACAAAATTCATGCTTTATACTGATAAATGAACTTTGGCAACAGCTTGTATGATCTTTGCTTCACAGAATGTTATGTTTTTATATTATGTAAAATGATTTTACCAAATATAGATTGGATTTTCAAGCTCTGACGTAGTTTAGGTAATCAAATACTGATAAATACTTGTCCAGTGTATCAACAAGATTATAGAAATAATGTAATTTGGAAATAAAATATTGTCAGGAGTTGTATGTACCAAAATAAATTGTATCAAATTCAAAATTCTTTAAGATTTTAAATCTAAAAATGGTTTAACCCCAAAATATTCTGCTCATTCAATATCATGTTGTTTTGTTTTTCCAGTTGAAACTCAGGTCCACACAATTTAAACAACATGTTCAGTTCATCCTGCTTTATTGTAGAGCATTAAATATAAAGAGCACTTGTCCTAAAGTACAAATGTCAATCTTAATAGCCATACAATTATAAATATTTGTTTATATTTCAAATATCTCAATCCTTTTATTTAACAACTGACAAATTCAAAGCGTGATATAATAATCATTTTAACTGTTTTATAATTATTATATCGGTTTCACAAATTGACATCAAGATTAAATTTTTATACCATAAGATTTTTATTCTGAACAATTTTTGTAGCATACTTATTTGTGTCATAGTTATAACCGTCATGTCATACATTAGATGCCTTGTACTTTTAGACTATACACCGTGTTAAATTAAAATAAGGTGGATGTACTTTTGTTGTAATGTAATATATACGCCCATGTTACAATAACAAATATTTACTTTCTTACTAATTTTAACATATAGCCATTTTTTTGTGTGAGAAAAATATTTTTGTTAATGAAAATGAAAGAGTGTTTTTAATGAATCTGTCATTTTAATTTTACTTTATTTTTATTTTTCAGGTATGTATTTCTTGCTATTTACACCGTTGAGATGGTAATCAAATTGCTTGCTAGAGGGTTTATCATTAACTCGTTCACGTATCTTCGAGACGCCTGGAACTGGCTCGATTTTCTTGTCATCTGTTCAGCGTAAGATATTTATTTTGAAATAGGACAATGCTTTAGGCTTAATAATGTTTAAAGGAAAATAAAGTTTCTGTTTCTTTCATTAGAATTGGTCAGTTGCAGTCAAAACATTTTTTTGATATTCTGACAATTTAGGTAAAAAGCAGAAAAATGTTAGCTAGAATTTTGTTCTTACTTCTTGAATTTTCTTCTAAAATTTTGCGGAAACATGTTCCACAATTAATTCTAAGATTATTTAATTAATTAATTAAGCTGCCTAGTGATAAGATTAAATGCTTAGATTTTTACCACTCTTGTTTTCTCCTGGAACCTAACTATTTCTGGTATTGTACAAGAAACAATGGTCATGACCCCACTAGAGCTTAAACCCATGTTCCCAGGGTTGAGAGGCAGACACCCTAAATAACCAGGTCATAGTTCCCCATTCTGTGTTGGTTTTGATATACATTTAGCTAGATTCTTATTATAACTTTCAATTTATTATTGATTTAGTTTTAAGTACGTTTTGGTCATAGCGTCAAATTAGATTAGCTTTATTAAATCTCTTATGATAATGTTAGATATTGCCTTTGACTTCAGCATAATGTTTACTTTGCTATTGCTTGTTTCCTTGTTACTAACAATTATGATTTAACAAAAAACCTCCAGACTTGCAATGAATATTTATGTAAGTTTGTATACTTGAGCTGAGAAAAGAACAATATGTATGAAAGTGCTTATGTTAAATGTGGCACTTTTGTACTAGGGAAATGAGAAAACATCACTAATATCTGGTATATAGTAATTATGAATGTTACCCACGTCATTGTTACAAACGTTAATATATATTCCACCTGGTACATAGTCTCTATGTTCTTTGATATATTCATTCATTTCTCATATATATTTTGTCAGTTTGTCAAACAAATGTGGAGAAATGTGCAATACGGTACAATTTCTCAGAATAGCATAAAAAAAGATAGGAAAATATGAACTCATTCATAATATGTTTTAATACTATGTCCATGTCATTGTGTAGTTTTGTAAAAACATACATTTATATGATGAGAACATATTTTAGGGATTTTATTATTATATTGTCTGAATTTCTTAAGTTATGAAAAATTATAATGATTCGAGTGGTATTTAAAAATGCTGTAATAGAGAACTTCTCCATTGTTGTTGTTTTTACTTTTTATGCCTCCTTCTTTAACTAATTTGGGTGGCATATAGAATTGCCCTTATCTGTTCCTGCTGCTGTCACACTACCCTCAAATTGACAAAACATAGGCTTCATCTATGTCCTTTGGACATATTTCTATTTGTACTTTTCTTTTCTTTTTTATTTATATGAAAAATGCTTTAAATTCAATATATCTTTGGCATTTTGTCTTTCAGATATTTAACAATTATTCTAGAAAATACAAGTGGTGGAGGAGGTCTAGGAAATCTGCAGGGAATACGTACATTTAGGGTATTCCGAGTTCTTCGCACCATCTCAATTGTACCAGGTATATATGTAATATTGGTATATATACAAGTTATATTTTTTTCACACCTGTCTACTTATTCCTGTATTCATAATTATTTAATTACATGTAAAAACCAGTAGCTTGGATGCCCTATTGCTTTTTTGTTCAATATGTAAATGCAATGTGATAGTGTCCAAAATTGTGTAATTTGTCTGCATTTCATACTAATGTAAAAATATCTGAGATCATTTACCAAATTTTTGACACTAAACTCGACCATTTTGACATTTTAAATTACAAATACATGTATACAACCATGCCTTAGACTAACTCCAAGTTTAAAGTGGTAGAAATAATGCTATTGAATTAAAACCCATAACAACTGGCTAACTATGTTTTAGTTATCAACGGAGGCATAAAGTCGTATTGATTAATAGTCAAACTTTCTTGTGAAATAAATGAGAGACCTAATTACTTTAAGTGCTCAATTTTGTTGTGTTTGATTTATTAAGATATCATAATATATGCCACGAGTTCACAGATGATTGGTGCCTTGACAAGTTAATTGTATATCTGAATTCAATTATTATGACTTTAAAATAAAACTAGTCAAGATGTTTTTCTCTATTTCATCTAGATTTTATTAATGATTGAGCATTGGAAATTGATAATACAGATATTTGTTATTGATATATATTATATAAGCTAGACCACCCATTTATTGAATTTTTTTTTCATCATTTTCACTTTTGATTGTTTGAAAGAGATGTATACAGTAGAGTTAAATTAAAAAAATAATATTGCGTACTTTTTTAAGTAAAAAAAAATCAAATGGTTTTAATTTCTTAATTTTTTTTTTTTTATTTCAGAACAGAATTTTTTAAGTAAAGTTAAGGCTTTAAGTAAATCTGGAATATAATAAGCTTATTGCTCAGATTACAGTTAAGATTCAAGTTGAAATAAAAGATGAGCTTGAAAATGAGAAAGTATAGCTAAAAGGAACTTTAATCATTGTATAATTTTTGTATTTTAGGTCTAAAAACAATTGTGAACGCACTACTTCGAGCTTTCCGAATGTTGTTAGAAGTGATGATGCTCATTTTGTTCTGCCTTATGGTATTTGCTTTATTCTCTCTACAAATCTACATGGGAACATTGAGGCAGAAATGTGTTTTAGAAGCTCCAGATTATACAGGCACACCTGCATACAGCTATGCCCAGTTCTATAATGATCATATAAAGAATTCATGTAAGTATCTCCGTATGATTTGATGGGTGATTAATTATAGCTACATAATCACTAACATACAGATTCAGTGTTGCAAACACTGACATAACACAGGGAATTAAAGAGGCAAATTATGCCGAAATACAAGGATCTGCTGTTATAACATTATGTCTTTGATTTTGTAATAAAAATGTGCTGATCACATTCCCAGGTTCACCTCTTTGTCCTGATTCTTACTAATCATTAATGTGTTCATTATTTATATGTATTGTCTGGAAAATTACTGCAAGTTCTAGGTACATGTAGCTATATTCACAATAGAAATACTTCAGTCGCTGGTATTAAAACGTCTGTAAGCACTTTGGCAGATTGTGTTTGTATTCAATACAATATTTAGTGCAATTGTGTTACCTGTTATTATACCCCCGCACAACAAAGTTGTAAGGGGGGTATACTGGAATCAGCTTGTCCGTCCGTCCGTCCGTCCGGCCGGCCGTCCGTCGGTTTTTTCTTGTCCGCCCAATAACTTAAGATTCCTTTGACCCTTAGTCTTCATATTTGGCATGGAGGTTAGTCATGATTAGTAGATGACCCCTATTGATTTTGAGGTCACTAGGTCAAAGGTCAAGGTCACAGGGGCCTTGACTTCAAAAAATATACCCCCGCACAACAAAGTTGTAAGGGGGGTATACTGGAATCAGCTCCGTCCGTCCGTCCGGCCGTCCGTCGGTTTTTTCTTGTCCGCCCAATAACTTAAGATTCCTTTGACCCTTAGTCTTCATATTTGGCATGGAGGTTAGTCATGATTAGTAGATGACCCCTATTGATTTTGAGGTCACTAGGTCAAAGGTCAAGGTCACAGGGGCCTTGACTTCAAAAAGCTTGTCCGCCCAATAACTTAAGATTCCTTTGACCTACAGTCTTCATATTTGGCATGGAGGTTAGTCATGATTAGTAGATGACCCCTATTGATTTTGAGGTCACTAGGTCAAAGGTCAAGGTCACAGGGGCCTTGACTTCAAAAAGCTTGTCCGCCCAATAACTTAAGATTCCTTTGACCTACAGTCGTCATATTTGGCATGGAGGTTAGTCATGATTAGAAGATGACCCCTATTGATTTTGAGGTCACTAGGTCAAAGGTCAAGGTCACAGGGGCCTTGACTTCAAAAAAGCTTGTCCGCCCAATAACTTAAGATTCCTTTGACCCTTAGTCTTCATATTTGGCATGGAGGTTAGTCATGATTAGTAGATGACCCCTATTGATTTTGAGGTCACTAGGTCAAAGGACAAGGTCACAGGGGCCTTGACTTCAAAAAGCTTGTCCGCCCAATAAATTAAGATTCCTTTGACCTACAGTCTTCATATTTGGCATGGAGGTTAGTCATGATTAGTAGATGACCCGTATTGATTTTGAGGTCACTGGGTCAAAGGTCAAGGTCACAGGGGCCTTGACTTCAAAAAGCTTGTCCGCCCAATAACTTAAGATTCCTTTGACCTACAGTCTTCATATTTGGCATGGAGGTTAGTCATGATTAGTAGATGACCCCTATTGATTTTGAGGTCACCAGGTCAAAGGTCAAGGTCACAGGGGCCTTGACTTCAAAAAGCTTGTCCGCCCAATAACTTAAGATTCCTTTGACCTACAGTCGTCATATTTGGCATGGAGGTTAGTCATGATTAGTAGATGACCCCTATTGATTTTGAGGTCACCAGGTCAAAGGTCAAGGTCACAGGGACTTTGACTTCAAAAACTTTGTCTGCCCAATAACATTAGATTCCTTTGACCCACAGTCGTCATATTTGGCATGGAGGTTAGTCATGATTAGTAGATGACCCCTATTGATTTTGAGGTCACCAGGTCAAAGGTCAAGGTCACAGGGACTTTGACTTCAAAAACTTTGACTGCCCAATAACATTAGATTCCTTTGACCCACAGTCTTCATATTTGGCATGGATGTTGATCATGATTAGTAGATGACCCCTTTTGATTTTGAGGTCACTGGATCAAAGGTCAAGGTCATAGGGACTTTGACTTCAAAAAGTTTGTCTACCCATTAACTTAAGATTCCTTTGACCCACAGTCTTCATATTTGGTATGGATGTTGATCATGACTATAAGGTGACCCCTATTGATTTTGAGGTCACTGGGTCAAAGGTCAAGGTCACAGGGACCTTGACAAAAAAAAAGCTTTTCTTCTCAATTGCTAAAGAATGTCCTGTCCGCAATGTATTGATTTTGACATTTTCACATTTGAAGCATGTAGAATACATAACTTAGCAATGCACTGTCTTAGTAACCTCAGATTTGGCAGGGAGGTTGTTCTTGAGCTCTAAATGGCCACTGTTGATTCTGACAAAGTGGTATGCGGGGGTATTCAAGCCATGATAGTGGCAGTTCTAGTTTAATATTGCTATAGAACTCTTTAGAGAAACTCATTATATATGTTTTAATACATATTTGTTCCCTTGAAAATTACCCAGTTGAAGCAAGTTTACCACAGATGACAGTCTTTTTAGTTTCCCTTGCAAAAACACTGGTGAATTATATTAGTACATCTGTACTTAAAAGTACTTACAAAGACTTAATTGTTAAGACAGGTTTATCACAATTAAACCAGTACAGAATTTGTAAATGAAATATATTACCTAGAACATATTATTTTCTGACTTACTTCAAAGTGAAAAAAAAAATGCTATATTGTCTTAATTACCATGGCATATCTCGGGTATAAATGCGCGTGTGTAGAAGCAAAAAAATACAATAAAAATATTCATAATTTATTTATGGAACATGAAACATTATTTGGTTTCTTTTGATTGTGTTGGCATTATGGAAGTGGTAGATGTCCCTAATCAGATACACTACACCCGATGAAAATGTTGGATTTGTAATTAATAAAAACAAGACAAGAAATGCAAGTACTGTGGGACTCATTTTTAGTTAAGTTTAAAATCACACTGAAATCAAGACTATGCTCAGCACTGATGGTTTTTACTGTGATTTAATTATTTGCTGATACCAATTGATTATAGGTGGGAAAAAACTTTTATTACCTGTCATTTTTGTGAATTGGCTCAGCTTTTTTTATTTCAAAAGTTGAAAATATTTTGAATGTTTTGACATTTGATAGCTCATAAAAAAAGATCAATTTCCTAACAATTGTATATTGAATGTCCTTTTATTGAGATTTTAACACTAAGATCGAATAACTGTCCTTGTTCTAAACAAATAATTGAAAATACACTTCCTATCTTTTATATAGGCATACAAAGGTACCAGAGTTATATCTGTGTGACGTTTGTCTGTACACATTTCACTTTAATTATATCCTTAATTGCTTTTTTACCTGCATGTAAATTATATGTCCTTGAGAACTTTTTTCTAATGAGATAAAAATAATTAAAATTTAGTCACATGGTTGCCCCTATTCTTTACAGATTAAGATTACTACATGTTAGGATTGAATTTCTTTCTTTCTTTTAATCAGTAATGGTTTTACTATAACTATTTAAGTTAACATGTATAAAAAAATTTGTTGTTATTTTGCACTTGTAAAAAGCAGAAATTTACCCAAAAAATTAATAGTGACTGTATCTACAAAAGTTGATTTAATTACTTGTCACTTTGAACACTTATTAAATTGATGCACCATATTGTATCAGACAGTACCTGGTTAAAAGTATAATTTCCATAGGTGTGACATTTGAGCCGTGTCATGACAAAACCAACATAATGGGTTTGCGACCAGCATGGATCCAGACCAGCCTGCGCATCCGCGCAGGCTGATCAGGATCCATGCTGTTCGCTTACAAAACCTATTATAAGTAGAGAAACTGATAGCGAACAGCATGGATCCTGATCAGACTGCGCAGGCTGGTCTGGATCCATGCTGGTCGCAAACCCATTATGTTGGTTTTGTCATGACACGGCTCATTTCAATTTTGATATAGTATCAAAAACTCTGTTTTTATTGCATTGAGAATGGTGATATTTGCTGTTTTTCATAGTTTTTGGGGGTAATTTTTGGTTGTTTTTTTTTTTTGCATTATTATAATCAGTAATAAGAATAATGTGACATGTGCTGTTACTGTACATTGACTTTAATTAATAAATTTGTTCCTCAGAAATGTTATATTTATAATATTAATTTGAATAATTTCTCCATATGCTTGCCCCGGACAAGTTGACAACTTGAACCCTATATTATATATTAAATCCTATACATAGAGCAAACAAATCATTGTGTTAAAGCAATATCTTATGGTAACTACTTACATTCTCAATGCTAAAACATTTAAGCTCAGTTGAAATCAAGTACAGGTTAACAATAAATATAAGAAAAGGATAATCCTGTTCTTGAAGGTTAATGCAGAATTACTGACATATTGGCCTGTACAATTGTATTTTATTGTGGGTCACTCCCTTTTAGCGTGTTATTTTCATTATTAATTGTCCACTTTTGTTTCTATGTCCCTCACTTGTAAAGTGGGATGCATTCTGTTATAGTATGGTCTGTCTGTCTGTCTGTCTGTCTGTATGTCTGTATGTCTGTCTGTCTGTATGTCTGTCTGTCTGTACTTACAACATGATGTTTCCCTTGTCATTGAATGTATAACCTGTCCTTAATGTTACTTTTAAGGGACATTTTCCATGATAAATCTCTGTTTGATCAGACACTAACTTTCAAATTAATAAATCTAAGTTTGTAAAATCTTGACTCTGTAGAGACCCTGCCCATGAGCAGCATGTGACTCCTGTTGATTTGGTGTCATAATATAACAATTTATAATTTATAATATACAATAAGAATGTAAAAATGCTACTGTGACAAGCAAATGAAGTGGGGAAATATGTGTCCTATAGACACATTTCAAGTTTAATTTCATTTTGCAGTCTCTTTGTAGATAAGTGTAACATGTGAATTATCTTGCTATAAAAAGAAAAATTATAAATATTTTACAGCTAACTGGTATGACGATGGTGAAGGGTTTGTGTTATGTGGCAATGTTTCCGGCTCATTCAAGTGTCCCACCAATTATACGTGTTTGAAGGACATTGGTGAAAACCCCAACTGGGGTTACACAAACTTTGACCACTTTGGATGGGCTATGCTCACATCGTTTCAACTGATGACACTTGATTTCTGGGAAGATACATATAACAAGGTACAGTTGTTTATATACGGCCGACTCAATGTATAAAATGTAGTTACTGTAGCAAATTTGTTTGACTCAAATCAATACAATAGTCTAATACATGTATTATGCATCAGTTAATAAAAAATATCTTAAGTAAATTTTAAAAAAAAGTTTCCTTTTGCATATTGAAGTGGTACATGCTAGTAAGATTGCTAAGGGGAAATTTTCAAATTTACTATTTAATTAAATTGTGTTCATAGTAGTTCATAGTAATTGATTGGCTCATCGGGTTGTTTTTTATATTTATTAATAAACACTAAAGATATATAACTAAGGAAATATTGTGTAGGAAATGCTTGATCCTTGTTACCTGTGAGATAATTTCTTTTGTTCTATAATATTAAAAACAAATATGTTCCTAAAACAAGTTAGCAACAAGTTGATTCTAACCTAAACTGGTATTATTTTTTTAGGTTTTAAAGACTTCAGGCCCTTGGAATGTAATTTTCTTCATCTTTGTGGTATTCTTCGGTGCTTTCTACTTGGTCAACCTGATGTTGGCTGTCGTAGCAATGTCCTATGAACAGGAATCTGAGGCAGCTGGCAAGGTAGGCATCCTCTCACGATTATATGGAACATGTTTTTTGCAGTTATTTGAAACAGAGTTACATCCCCTAGATCACAGCTTTTTGACCAAGTTTTGCTTACTTATGGTTCAACATTGATGATTAATATGATATTCACATTTGCTGTTTTGAAGTGGTCATATAACACTTGACTTATAGCATTGATAGATGCACACAATGTACTCGGTACACAAAATATACTCCTCTAATTTTAATGCACTGTCTTAAATGTAATAATGCTAATAAGAAATGCTTAATTTCAATTTTCCTAACAATAGAAACAAAATGGATAAAAATTGTTCAACAGAACTTTTTATTATGCTATGTAACTTAGGTAACAAATTAATATCCAAACTCACTATAACTAACAGGAACTGATATTTTTTAATCACCTTATATACCAGGGTATATATTGATGAATCAATGATATTTTTGTTAAGGAACATGAGTTAAGGCAAATGAAAACTTTTTAAACTTTTTAAGCATCATTTGATGAGAGAGTGTTAGAAAGTTTGCTATGCTGTGCTAATGTTAGAATTTCAGCTCTTGTTTACTTATTTGGAGAAAAAAATCTTTCACATATTTTTTTTCTCCAGTGTGATACAATATTTTCTTATGCTTAATTTGCTTTCATATGATTTAAGGTTTCATTTTAGAAGCATCAGACTAAACCAAATGATTGTAAATATCATCAACCAATGTAATACTAAGAATCAAGGGAGGTAGGATTACAATGAAATATTAATCAGGGGAGATAAATAATATGTCAATGTGTATAATAAAGAAACGAGAAAGGTTATGTTGTGATGAAATCAGGGGAGGCAATTTCTAGATGTTTGTAACAGAAATCAACACAACACAGATTACCCGGTAACTATAGGTGCAATCTAGGTGTAATCTCTAGATTTATGAAATTAAAAGTCTTAGAGGTTTATGTCTAGATGAATATAAAAAAATAACAAGAACAGGTTATTTCCAAGATGCAATGTAGGTCATAAAGAATCCTGAGAGTTTACCTATATGTAAATGATATTTAAAAAGTAAAATGAAATTGGAAATTTATCATTTAATAAAATAATAAGGAATACAATGTATATATGAATCAGCGAAAATAATATCTAGTGTAGAAACTTAGTTTGCTTTTTTTCCACTTGCCTATCTCACTAATCAGGAAGTTCATAAACAAAGACGCCACAAGACTTCACGTTCTGCAATTAACCAAAAGATTTCAGCTCAAACTAATACTGTTGACATGGTAACAATGCAAATCTAGAGTAGATAAACCAATGAAGGAACACACATACAAATGCAATAGAATTTAAACACATATAGTTGCTTAAACTGTTTTTTTGCACTGTTTTGTATGACATCAGTTAGAAAAAATGCCTAGCATAAATTTCTAGAATTTTTCATCATTTGTTTTTATGCTTTTATATTTCAAACACATCATTCAAATCATGAAAAAATGAATTATTTGTTTACCTCTTATATTCATCATACATTTCTAATAATATTAGGTTGATAACGAAAAAAACACTGCTTAATGCTGCCTATTTCTCATAATTATATCAAGAATGAGTTACAATTATGTATTTATAAAATTGTTAAATTAAAAACTACAGTTAATATGTGATAAAGTTTAACTTTCAACTAAAGTATATGTGCTATTATCCAGAATTTCATCATTACATTCATTCTTTATAAGTAGTAAATATTTTGTTCAATGTTAAGGAGATATTTGATGCTCTTTAAATTTTAATATTAAATCCCTGCCTCATTTCAGTAAATTATGCACCTTGATTAGTTTAATATTCATATGCATCATCCATCAATATTATATCAACTCCAGTAGGAAAATTATGCAGACATGTCATTCACTTTGCATTTCTTTTTATTCTGTTTTCATCAATGCACTTTTCATTTAATGTCTATAGTACTAAGATGCATTGAAGTTATAACTTTTTTTAAACAGTCACACCTGATTATAGATTTATGTTTGATTTTTCCGTCATTTTTTTTCTTTCCAAATTTATATGTAATATTTTTCTTAGTATAGATTTTAGTAAATTTGAGCACTTAGTGACTTCCAAATTGGTATTAGACTTTATTTCAACACTTACTGTTAGAATAGTCCATGACAGTGAGCAGTCTTTCTGCCACTGATTTACTTCACTCGGTTAATGTTAAAGATGAGAATGACTTCAGTCTGTGCTTCTGTCACCAGTATAGAGCTAGGACAGTCTGTGCTGTTGGGTACAATTTCTTTTTTTTGTGTATTGTGTAATTCTTAAAGTAAATATGGACTGTTCAAAAATTCAAAACAGGAATGTGTCCATTACATAAATTCATCAGGGTATGGGTTATGATATTGATTTATTTGGTGCAACTGTTTCAGGGTAAACCGAAAATGAAAATGTTTAAACAATACGCTGACTCTGAGAATGGGACTGAGGTAACTGTGATTCACTAGTGTAGACTCAAAGCGCCTAAAATAACACTATCTTAAAGGCTTGATGCAAAAATGTTGAATCTCTCAGGTTATATAATATGAGATACTACAATTTTGCATTGAACCTGTGACATTCTTTACATGTGTCTTGTCTTTTCTTATTTTCAGCTCAATTCTTAATTAACTCTTAACCTACTGAAATTTTGTAACAGACATCAACTGTCCAATATCAATTTTTGGGATATCAAAATGAAAATCTAAAAATTGTTTAGGTAACAGTGTAGAGCCTGGTCAGACTGTACAAGATGTTCAGGCTGGCCTGGCGCTCTATGATACTGGTGGTAAAAGCTTATCTGCAGTAGGTTAAAAGTTATATGAAAATTCCTCGCTAAATAAAACAACTCACTTTACTCAAGTTTCCCTGGAAACTATTAAAACCTTTGTTATTATCCTTTACAATGCTAAATATCATTAATGGACTTAGTAATTCATCAATCTGGACTCAACCATTCAATATTTTTAGAGAAAATATGGAAATATGTACTGTATGAATTACATTTAATGCAGACCATGATCAGACTTTGAAGTCATTATATGTCAGAAATAAAGTGAGTTGTTTTAATACACTTTGGTGAATGGTATTAAAGCTTTATAAATTTGTGTTTACTTGAACATTATACAATGATATATAACTATAAAGTCAAGTTTCAAGTTTGGAGAATTTTCTTTTTAGACAATAAGGTAGTATATCAGTCACATTTACTGTATAAATAATAATTTATTATAGAGAACCTTCTGAATCAAGTATAAAAATAATGATTTATTATTTATCAAAGAAAAGTTATTGAATGAAGTATTATAAATAATAATTTGTTATTCATCTTGGAGAAGATACTAAATTAACTTTCATAGGAATAGATTATCCTTTTCAATTTAACTCTTTTGTTAAAGTTTTTCATCAAAATATTCATGATGATTATTCTCAATTGTTGCATTATAATAATACTGAAATGATTTGTATACAAACAGATAAAGTATTCATTTAAAAAATCAATAGTTAACATTTCGTTTACAAATTTGTTGACATGATTTTATGTCTGATAATATATTTTATTTACTTTTTATTTATTTAACAATTCAAAACATGTTTGAATAATGATAAAGTATAATAAGAGTTGTCAGACCTGATTTTATATATGTACTATAGTACAACTTGTTGTGACCTTTTTCATCGTAGGTTGTAGGCAAGGAAGTGCTGTAACATTTATAAATAAATGAATTGACAGATTTTAATAAGATGCTATTTTTATATATGATTTAACCACTTAGTTAAATGGTCACCAGCTGGTTTAGTTGTAGGACTTAAAGCCATATTTAGGGTTGAGCCTCACCATTTTAATGTATTGTAACTTACAAAGTTTACAAGTTTGTTAGTATGATAGGAACTAACAATTACCTGTAGTATAAGGACTTCAGTCATACCTGTTCTTCAGAAGCTGCCTCATAGCAAGACCTCTCTCTTCAGCACACCTAGCTATTTGTTTTCCATTACAATAATTCCATGGCAATAAATACTGGTTATTTAGACCACCTGTCAACAATGACCACATATTGGGGATATATTATACAGGTTTGACTGTACAAAATTTCATCTACTTTAACCAATTAGCAATAAGTGATTAGCCTTTTTCATCTGCATAAAGCCAGGCCAGCCTAGCTGCACCTTAGTGCAGTCTGACCTAAATCTGTACTAAAAGCACAATATACTTTCATATTGAAATTCTTTAAACTTTTAAAGGAACTGTAGTAATATTTGTAAAACCTGTAGATAAAGACCAATACTATGTCTAGAAAAGAGGACACTGTTGACAATTGCTTTTTCTCACATTAGATTTTTCAAGATTGCTATTTTATATTGGGAAAGAAAATCAAACATTTAAATACATATATTTTATGTCAGATCTTTATTCAGAGCTTCTTAATGACACAGGTATGGCTTTTAATTTTAAGAATACTAGGGGATAATATAGAAAAGTAAAATATAGATATGAATGTATAATATCGGACAATGCTGGGATGTTTGAGAGTATAACAGAATCATTGACAGTATTGCTATGTTGTTTTTGTCATTTTTATATTGACTGTAGTATTTATTGTCTTGACTTTTGTACAAAATGCTTTATTCTTTTCAAAATAATGCTGTACTTTAGTAGCAGTAAACATTTCATTCCAAAAACAGTTAAAATTGCACTTTTCTTAGTATTATTTTTTTCACTATGCTTTTCTTCAATATGCTTTAGTACATAAATAAAGAGGAACAATTGTGATGTTTCTTTTTCCTGTCTGTTTTTTCTTTTTTTTACATATACATGCAGTTATAGAATACTTTTTGACTGTTACATTTTTGAATGATTAGGTTTATGAGATTATAAAAACTGGCCATGAGTAAACAGAATATAAAGTTTATATAATTAGAGTGTAATTATTGCATGCCAATTTTATATAGTCTTTAACAATTTAATTGAAAACGTGATTTTTGATATAGTTTAACAACATTGTAATTGTGTGAGTTAGGTAAGATGCAGTTTATCTTCAAGTAAGAAATTTGTACAATTATGTTCGACACATCTTGTATACAATTTTGAGATAGATAAAACTTTTCTTCCATACTTAAGAATTGAAGAAATGTTATGATTTGCCTATGATCTATACTGATGAAATATTGATATATTATTTTCATATTTACAATGGTGTTCATAAAACAAAGGGAGATAACACTTTATATTATATATATACTTTTTTTCAATCCCTTCCTTACTGTACCATACTTTGCAAGGTTTCGGTTGTTCAAATTTTCTACTTACATGTAAATTGTACATGCATAATTCACTCAACATACTAAAGGATACATCATTTAAAAAAACAACTGAATTTTGAGATAAACTGAATCATTTTAGATACAAAATTTATTAATGCAAGCTAGGTGTAGGTATTGAATGATATAACAGATATTTCTCATTCATATTTTACAACAGTTACTCGAGCAGCTGGTAGGTTAACATTACCATTGTATTTCACTAAACTCATACAATGTTCACATTTTACATTCATTTTTGTTCATTCTGATATGTTGTCATTTCATTATTTATTATTGTTCACAATTTGTTCATCGTGTTTCGTTTATATGTGGTCAATCAGTTTCAATAGTTTCAGTTCCTCTATGTTATGAAATTAAAGTGGCACTAAAATACTAGTAAAATTAGCATTTTATGTTCCTTGTATTTTCCAATGTTCTCTTTAAAAAAAATGGGGTTTTTTTTGCAATAAAAAGAGCAGTAGGTATAAGATGAAGACATAATGGTCAATTATTCAGTGTTTATTGACCACATATAATTTTCAAATTTGTATGTTTAATGCAAGTTACAATGTTTATTTCATTTATGTCACAAGAAGTCATTAAAATTTGTATGTTATAATTGCAAGTTACTGTATTTATATATTTTTTATGCCTGAATGTTAAAGAAGTCATTTACATACTTGAATATGTATAGATATATGCTATATGATAGATATAATATTGGGGCAAGTTGGTATTATACATAATACAATTATACTATATATTTATGGTATATTTAAATGCATTTAAGTTGCTTGTTCATTGTTGGGTTGAACATTTTAAGTTTATATATTTTTTATGAATTCAACCAGTCATTGGTCATTACAAATTTCTTCTAAGGTGACTCCTGCCAGTATAAATTTAAACAATGTGTCTTTCTCTGACACGAAAAAATCTAAATCATTGTGACTCTCTCTTCCAATATGAATTTAAGTCTAGGTCTCTTCCCTTGACAGAAATCAAGGTCATTGAGTAAGTATGATGGGCAATCAAGAACAAACATTATCAAAAAGGCTATTTTTCTTATCTTCAACCAATGTCTTATGATTGCTAAAACTTTCTGCAAAATTTATTTCTTTAATATATAGATACACTGACAAACTGCTAAAGTCAACCTATAGGAGTGATATATGTGCTAATATTTTCAACCCTGCTGAGAACAAGTAATTTAACAACCACATTATATGATATGTATTGGATAACAGTCATGTAGATCAGTAAAAACCATGTATATTATATCTATAATGCATGTGTTCCCGAGAAACTCTTCATAAATGATATAAATTCCATGAAAATTTAATGTTTGAAATATAGTTTAGTGTACAGTTCTATATTTCTATTATACACTGAGAAGATTATAAAAATGAATTATTTACTTATTAAGAATTTTGCTTCAAATTTTTAGATATTTATATGTTTCATTACATGAATAATGCCCAATTCTTCGTTTTAAGTTATTACCTATTATTTCTGTTTCATTATTTCATTTCAGGAAAAAGAGAAAGAATTGAAGAACAAGAATAAAAAGAAGAAAAAGAAGAAGAAGGAAGAAAAGAAAGATCCATGGAAAGACCTAGCTGATGGTAAGTGTACATTAAAGAAAAATGAAAACTTTCTCATAACACAAAATACTTCTTTAACATTTCTGTAATGTCACTTGGAAACTTTTTTTCATTTAAAAATTTTGCTAAATAATCAAGTCTTGTCTAGCACACAATGAAACATTTCTTGATAATGATGTGTACTGACATTATAATAATTTATATTCTTACAATAGTATATTTCATTTGGGTTTTTTAATAGAATTGTTTATACAGTTACATTGATACCATCGTGCTATCTTGGTTTAATCATGTAAATTAGATACAAAAAGTAAAAGTCTGATACATGTATTATCCAATTAACAATTTGCCTGGAGTTTTGGATGTGCAATCAAAGAGATTAATCACCAGTGTAAGGTAACTTAGTTGGCCTGTACCTTAGACTGTGTAGGCTGCTTGATTTTAATATTTTATTTCAAATCCTCTAATGTCAATGATGGTGAGATCCAAGTTCAAAACTGGACAAATCCATTATACATTAAGTTTCAAATTAAAAGATTTAAGTAAGACAAAATGTGAATTAAGTCTTAAATGTAGATCAAAATATGGTATGAATGATGAACTATTTATGTTTTATAGTTAATTCTATAGGTTAAAATAACATCAAGGTGTACCTGATATATGAGGAACAATTAAGGTTGATAGAACAGCAGTTTAACTTACTCTCCAGGAGATCTTTAAGTTCATTATGTTAATTAGCCTCCTTGTTCATATATTTTGTAAAAATATTTTTTCTGTGTGTGTACTTTGTATTAAAATTTGACCCTGTGTATATTTAATCTGTTAAATGACAATGTACTATATACTTGTATTTTTTTGTTTTGCTTTGCTTCTAACAATCTCAGGAAACCAGAATATAGGTAAATCTTCTTGTTTGTTTAATAATTTACAGTGATAGATTTTAGCTCCACTTTTTAGAGGAAAGGCGAATTGTTAAGACCCTCTTGGTGGCATAAGCATTGGTTAACCGTTTGCTTTTGTTAGTGGTCAAATACTTTAAAACCAATCAAGCTATTATCTTTAAACTTGCAGATGCCTTTGAATAAGTTCTATCTTCTGTATCTATTTTGAGGTCAAAAAGTCAAAGGTGAAGGTCACTGGGACCTGCAATAACATAAAACTGGTCATTTGATCTATGTGCATTTCCTTGAGAGCTTTGTATGTAGCTTCAACTTGATAAGTTGTACCTGACACCTGTTTTTTGTTGTTGTTTTGTTTGTTGTTTTTTATTTGGGGAGGTCAAAAGGTCGAGGTCACTGATACCTGTATTAATAAAACATTTAACTGGCCATATCAAAGTGAATTGACTTTTGTACTTCAAACTTTTTGTATGTAGCATTCAATGATGAGTGCTATGTGTCACACCCTTTTTCAGTCAAAAGTCAAGTTCAAGTGTTCCAGTAGTAACAAGACAAAAATTTAATTGAACTGTGACCAAGTTTTTTTTTTCAAATTAAATCTTTTGTAAAAAATGTGCAGTTTACTACCTAGCACTGAGAAAGGTGGAATGAATGCTCCTTAGACAGTTCTTGTTTTGAATGTTGTTTAATTTGTTAATTTGTTCTTTTCTATAAACATGTAGTGAATATTGTTTGATAAAAGCCAATATTTATTTGTACATTTGATTTATTGAGCACTGGAACTTACCTTGTAGTATTTAAATCTATAAAAATATGAGTCTGTCAGTAAAAAGAAGAATTCTGTTCCTGTCTATAGCAATAGTACCTTGCTTTTGCCATCAGTTTAGAGCCAGAATATATGCAATCTGTCCAGTATTTTGATATTTAAATACATCTAACAATGGACATTTACAAATTCACAACATTGGGCAAGCCAATAACATAAATTCAACCTGGTCTAGGTCAGGTGTTTAAGGTGTTTAGTGACATATATTTATCACTGTTAACAGAGACGGTGAAAGCTGCAAAAGCTGCAGTAGAGATGGCGTATCCACACCATCATGCCAAAATACCTACAAGCTCCACTACACGTCCCCTAGGCAACCCAAACCATCAAACAATGGCAGATAAATCACGGCCTCATATTAAACGGAATCCTATGGTAAAGATGGCAAGTAAAGACAGTGGTACGGGTAATTCTGTAGAAAGTTCAAGGTCAAATGGTAGCAAAGATGGAGACTATCTGATCAATGAGGATGGCAGCTTTGGAGGAAGCACAATAGACATCATAAAGAAAGATGGACAAAAGATCAAGAAACCATTTGTGAAACAAGCCAGCTCTGGAATGGTAATTACTTAAATGTTTATTACTTTTTATGAATATAATCCTAGAAGTTAGCTATTTGTTGGTTTATGTTGTAGAAGCTAAATGTTTTTAATATTATCAGGCCTTTTTTTTCTTCAACATTTTGTAAATGCCACCAACACCATTTGAATTGGGGAAAAAAGCATAATGAAAAACCAAAGTTAGCAAATTTAGGGTTATTACTTGTAATAAACACATAATTAATAAAATAGTAGCTTCTATGGATAGCCTTTGTATTCATATTTTCTATAAGTATTTCAACAGATTCATTTTTATAACAAAATTACTTTTTCAAAGAAAAATCAACAACATTAATACATACAGACTTACAATGGGATTTTATGCTTTTCAATTCGAGAAAAAAGATTTGTTTTGCTATTGTGAATGCCTTGGTTTATAATTTAAGTAACTACATGTATATAAGGAAAAAAGGCTTGATTTCAATCTATTTTACATTTCCTAATTTTAATTTGTACTGCTAGTTTGTATATGTTTACTATATCATAGTTTTAAAATCTGTCTCAGTGTATTATGACTCTTGACTTTGTAAACTATTCATAGATATGCTGATAATGATCGAAGTATACTATCTGTATACTTGATGTTTAAGCTGGTCCCCATTTCCTCCCTTTTGATTTCTAATATTTCTATTTGTTGTTTTTTCTCTCACACAAAGATGTCAAATGATGTAAGTATTATTTCTGCATAAAGACCATATAGTCAAAACGTGTTGCATCTCTAGTTATCTGATACTTCATTAGTTAAACTTAGATTAGCTTTCATGACTTTTTGGTGTCTCGACAGTTGATATCAAATTAGTGTTGTTATATTTGATATGTTATTCAGGCGTCATTGGAGTCGATATCTAATTAGTGTCAATAAAGTTGATATCTAAATTGTGTCTCCATAAGTGATATCTAAATAGTGTCAATAAAGTTGATATCTAAATTGTGTCTCTATAAGTGATATCTAATTAGTGTCAATAAAGTTGATATCTAAATTGTGTCTCCATAAGTGATATCTAATTAGTGTCATTAAAGTTGATATCTAAATGGTGCCTCTATATCGGTAATTGATAATTAATTAGTGTCATTAAAGTTGATATCTAAATGTTTTCTCTATAGTTGATATCTTATTAGTGTCATAAAGTTGATACCAGTAAATGGTGTCTTTATATTGATAATTAGACTGATATTTATATAGATATACATATATCCAAGTGGTTTCATAGCTGATATCAAATTTATATATCCTTAGTTGATATCTATTTTTTTGTTTCTGTAGTTGATATATAATTATCATATCCTTTTTTTGATATCAGATATGCATTTCTATTGTAGTTATCTGATAAATAGTTCATGAATTTAACAACATATCATTTTATCTTAAGTTGACATTAATTTATTTTGTAATCATATAGTTAATATCAATTTGTAATGTTCCTTGTTTATATAAATTTCACTAGATTCTTAGTTGATATCTGAAGGCAAAAAGTACCAGAGTTGCAGCTTCTTGCATAATTTTCATCACTAAATCTTTTATATAAATGTCATTGTCATCAGTACTAAGTGTAATCAAACATTTACCAAAATTAACCAAGCTATAAAGCCTGTGTGTAATTAGTATTTAATTGCTATTTTTTGGACTAAATGAAAGACATAACTTTATATATATTTTAGTAAGACAGGGCTACATATAGAGAATAACATGCTACTGTCTTTTGATATCAATTTTATCAGGCGAGGTTGATATGGGCTAGAAAGGGCGAGGCTTGCCGAGCCCTTTCTGCCCATATCAGCCGAGCCTGATAAAATTGATATCAAAAGACAGTAGCATGTTTTTCTATTTATCATGTAACACATAATAACTGTCAAAATAACAAAATAATCTACTTTTAAATAGCGAATTTCGTTAAAAAGGGGCATTTTTGTTCAAAGAAATAATTCTTGAAAACAAATTCCTCCGCCCCTGAAACTTAGAATTTGTAATTGGAGGCCATTTTTTCTTTCGACTCGGATAAAAGATACAACAGAATGTAGGCCTAATACGATAACATTCTTACCTTTAATTTAAACATCGATCCAAAAATCCGCTTAGAATCACATAAACTAAACTTTACTGCAATTTTTGTCTTGAATTGTCAAATTCAAAAGTTCTCGATTATTTCAATCAAAGAAAAGTCAAATCGGCAATCAAACAAAAGCTACACAAACATGCGTCATATTTTTCAAACGAAACAATTTGTTCACTTATTAAATAATAATCCGGCGAAATAAAGTAAACATTTACAAGTTCTCAAAGAAAATTGTCTAGCCTGTTTGTTATGATTACATGTATAGTATGACGTGAACATCGATGATGTCATTTGCAATATAAATTATGACGTCACTTCAAACTATTCGCTATCTAATTTATTCGTAATTGAAATCGAAATAATAAATAAATAAATATCGCACATTGATTCAAGACTTGTAAGGGAATGAGATTACATTGTAGAATTCACATGCTGATGAAAATGAGAATATAAGCAATTGAAAAAAGTCCGTTAACATGGGCGGGGCTTATTTTTGATATCAGGTTACTGACCTGATATCAAAAATAATTATCAGGCAAGTGTTATCGGGCAGTTACCATAGCAGTTGCATGATAAATGTAACCATCATGCCATCTATAACTTTATTTAGTACACAAAGCACAAAAATTGTATTGTACAATAAGCATTTTATTAAATAGTGGGGGGAAAAAAACGACCAGAACACTTGTGTGAAATATTTCATAGTTATAAGCCAAAAATACTCGTGATTCAAGAGCAAAATGTTTGGCTTAACAAATAAATAACCATATTCCCAGGAATTATGTAACTATTTATAAAACTTGGTATAAAAACAAAAACAACAGCAATGATATAAATTTCAGCGTCAACCAACTAATAGGTCCATGGTGAGTTATATCCCTCTCCTAATGTTGCTGTCACTAACAGCTCCAAGTCAACAAATTTCTCTCCTAATATGACTCTAAAATTTTCATATACCGGTACCTTCATAATTGTTATAACGTATACAGACTTTTTTGTTCTAAAGAGCACTCTGTTTTGTTTTAAGCTTTCATCACATAGAATAAAGTTTTATCTTTATTCCTGATATTGGTTGTATTAAACTGAAGTAAGGAATGACAACAGGTGATATATTGGACCACTGTAAAATACACTGATTATTATTCTTCTTCTGATTATAATTCTTCTTAAAACAATGTTACTGCAGCTCATAAACACTGTGGTGTCAGGAAGCTGTTTACAGTGTTGGTGGCATCGGCCAAACCTAATTATACTCACTCAACAATTAGCTTTTTTTCAAGCCAATAGTCTTGATACTAAAATATCTCTTTTTGTACTTTTTTTGCACAGAACCTTTTTTTCTGACTGCTGTAAACTTGCACTGAAACTGGTTAATCAAGTTCCAATTAAATGACATTTAAAATCCTTGTTTATGATTAATTTGTCAGGAAATGTACCAAAAACACAAGGCTTTATAAATCTGAGAAAAATGTAATAATATAAAAATAGTTTTAATCAATAAGTATAAAAATCATACAGTTAATGTTTAGTTAATGTTTAATTGTAACTAATACAAAGTTATGGTACATATGTTTAAATTAAAAGAATATGAAAATCTTGTATGAAAATAGGCTATAAAAACATAAAAAAATCTTTGAATTAGGAAAAAATGTTATATTCCAAGATAAATTGTAATATACACATGAGAGACAGCTTAAATATTTTATTAGAAAAAAACCCACAATGTTTCTTATTGGGTAATGGATATGCAATATTATTACAGGTGTCATCTTCTGGAGTGACATTAACACATGATAATAAGATGGTAGGTGAGGAGACGGAGAGAGATATAGATCAAGGAATGTACGAAGATGACACAGAAGAGACAGTTAATAGAAATGGTCCTGGTAGACAATATGTGGCCAAAACATATCCAAATGTTGTTATTATAGATGGTAAGTCTCTAACGCAGTGTTTGTTTGGTTTCATTAAAGCTTAATTTATGTTACTTGCACATTATATAAATTTAGTGATGCAACTTGAATATAAACTATGAAATTTTGTTTAAGTTAAGAGCAGTATGATTGGATCTCATTTGAGTCGTGTCATGACAAAACCAACATAATGGGTTTGTGACCAGCATGGATCCAGACCAGCCTGCGCATCCGCGCAGTCTGATCAGGATCCATGCTGTTCGCTATCAGTTTCTCTACTTGTTATAGGGTTTGTAAGCGAACAGCATGGATCCTGATCAGACTGCGCGGAAGCGCAGGCTGGTCTGGATCCATGCTGGCCGCAAACGCATTATGTTGGTTTTGTCGTGATACGGCTGATTTATTTTTGTATAAGTCAACACCATTTTGCACTTGGACCACAGATCTCTAGGTAAAAGATCACAATTAATTGTTGAGAGCAAGACTGTCTTAAGTCATTAAACTTTCTTAAAAAGAATCTACAGTTTTATAGTTATGCCATTTAACCATATAAACATAATATTTTAACTTTAAGTAGGATTATGTTATGTAATTTAAAAGGTCAAGTCAGTGTTTGCTTTAACATGCCTATTTATTGGCCTTATACCTACAATTTAGATTTCATAATTACTTTCTTCAGTTATAAGCTCCTTATTTGTTAATTCAATTGAACTTTTATCACTCAGTAAAAAAAATAAAATTGGAAACATAGATTTGAATACCTGGAGAAATGTGTTAGATATATGAAAGGTTTAGTTAGGTCAATCAATCAATAGAAATAGATTATAGTATTATTAGGTAGAAAAACGACAAAAAAAATAGGACAAGTTTTATGTATATTACAATTTGATTAAAAAAAAGAAAGAAAAGTTAAACATATATCATTATTGCCCTTTATTATTTTAAAATTTCATTTAACTCTGCAAATGTTAGCAGTAACAATATAAGTATGCTAGTAGTATGATAGCTACTGTTGAATTTAAAAGATACTAGCATCAAGTACAGTGTTGTAAATGTCAGCTGTCATGGGCTTATTCTACTGAATCAGTTGATTTTAAATTTACTCAAACCTAGGCTATAATTAAAACCAAAGTCAGAACATAAAAGCAATATGTAATAAAACTATAGTCTTACACTTTAAAGCAAAAGCCATTTGTTTACACTTTAAAGCCAAAGCCAGACGTTTTTGTTTTTTTGTATTTTGTTTCCAGGAAAGTAAAATATTAATAATTTTGCTTTTCAGTTGCTGAAGACACATACGAGAATGACCCTGAGAAAGGTCAGGTGATTAACAGGAACCCTGAATGTTGCTGGAACTGCTGTGGGGGCAGGCTGATGCTGCACTGGATCAAATTTCAACAGATATGTTTCAAGATTATTGCTGAGCCGTTGTTTGATCTATTTATCATTCTGTGTATTTTGTTGAACACAGCTTTCATGGCTGCTGAGCACCATAACCAGCCAGATGCGCTTACACAACTACTAGATGTCTCAAACTATGTAAGACTTGTTAAATGACCCTTTCTTATACTAATACAGGCTTTTAAAAGAATTCAAGAAAATTTACCATATTTTACCTTTACGTTTTTAAAGCAAGAAAACTGGATACTAAATGCCTTACAAACTATTTGTACTTAAAAATTTGTATATGCTGAGGCATGATATAAGTCCCACTTAATAAATGGTCTAATGACAAGTTGATGTCCACTTGACAGATAACTAATCAATCAATAAATTAAGTGATTATTCATATGTCTTTGTTGTTACTATTGAAAATTACAGTTTTCTATGGACAAAAATACCATTTCTTAACAATCAGCATGTCAAAATTGTGGTGTGAATGCCTGATTGGATGAAGAGATGCTGAGATACTAATCTTTAGTTACTTGTCTCATGATATCATGTCCTACATCTATTTTATTACAATTCTTGCTGTATGTACACATTTCTTGCACATCAGACTGACGTTTCCATTAGTTCTATCCATGCCAGAATTTGATCTGGCATGAGGGATGGCATGCTAAGGATGATGTAATTTTACCGTTATGAATGAAGTTGTAATTTCATATGCTCTTGTAAGAAAATAGTTACGGGTGTAACAACATAAATTTCCATGGAAAATTGTTCTATTAAGGTAAAGAGTTTAAAATATAATGGAATATCATGTAACGAATATGCAAGAATAAATATCTTGACATATGTTTGCGGTTCAGATCAGGGCCCTTGGGACAGATATTCCGATCCAAACCGCAAATATATGACAGATATTATTATTCTGTTCTACTCTTACAGTTGGTGTCCTATATTTTCAGGTGTTTTCTGGAGTATTTATTGTTGAAGCAATACTAAAATTGTCAGCATTGACCAAGTTTTACTTCAAGAACCCATGGAACGTTTTTGACCTTGTGATTGTCATAGCCAGTATTGTAGATATGTCAGTGACCGGTGTTGATGGTCTTACTGTATTCCGATCCTTCAGATTGGTTAGTATAATAATTTTATTTTTTATTTGTTCCAACTAAATTCTGGATTTTATATCTTAGATGTAACACATGTCATTAGTCACACTTGTGAATACTTCTTGCAAGATTACATTTAAGATATAAGTATTGCTTTGTTTGTTCAGACAGTGTTTTTTTTTCACCAAAATATTCGGCAAAATTTGGTCCCTTTCCCCCCTCAAAATAGTATGTTTTTTCCCCCCTCAAAGCCTAAATTTCCCCCTATATGGAAGCCCAAATTTGCCTGCAATAAATATCATTTTTTTTATGCAACTTACTGCTAAAAAATGTTTTATTTAATGCCTGTAAGAGTAGTTACTGTTAAGCAAGGTTGTTTACAAATCGTTCTATGGTAGGCAAGGGGAGCTACTCTTGGCGTCCCAACAAGTTTAACATACAACGCATCAAATTTTAGATCTGTATATTAAGGAAGAGACGTATTTTAAACTTGTGTTGCAAGAGTTGCTCCCCTTTTCCACCGCAAAGAAAACAATATAAAATAAGTAAACAAATAAAATTCCCCCTCCTATTGCATTTTTCCCCCTCCAAAGGGCACCGACCCCCTTCCCCCAAAAGGGAAAAAAAAACACTGGTTCAGAACATTAAATTTGTCTTGTCAAGTCTGCAGTTTTTATGTAATATCTTTTCACATTTTTAAAGAAAATTAATTGTGACTTTTTTCATATTTTATTTTCAGTAGTTATCTGCTGTCTCTTACAAAATTTCACTAAATTGACATTATGTTTGTATCTGTTTTACTGTTTTATTTTGATTGTCTTATTCTGATAAATACTTAAATATCATGTGATCAAATCCATAGGAATAAATTTTATAAGTATACCAATAGTTAAGATTTATATACATAAGAGTGAACTTTAAAATGAGGTTTATATTGATGTACATTTGTAAGGTTATCATTTGAAATTGTCTAGATTTTGTGTCTTATGTTGATATATAAGTACTATATATGTATGTATTAATGTATTTACAGATGCGAGTGTTCAAGCTGGCCCAGTCATGGCCCACTATGAGACTGTTATTGTCTATCATTATGAACACCCTAGGTGCCCTTGGTAACCTGACACTCATCTTGTGTATTGTTATCTACATCTTTGCTGTCATTGGTCTACAGCTCTTCAATGATAAATACACCGCAGATAAATTTGGTGACGATGGAGTTCCCAGGTATAATAAAAAGTCTCCATTAACTGTTAACTTCTTGAGTTTCTTTAATGAACTTGTTTTCCATTTTTGGACATTCCAATATAAGTTTTGAGGTTATCAAGATGAAAGTTTAAAGTTAGTGAGCCAACAGTTTTGGACCTGGTCAGACTGCACAGCTGTGCAGGCTGGTCTGGCTCTATACTGGTGGCAAAGGTAACTCACTTTTGTTTCCATTAGGTTATTGGTGAGTTCATAAATTGGTAAATGTTTCCTCAGATAACAAGGATTATTCTAGGTGGAGTCTGAGTATAAGCCCTTACATGTTTTCTACCTGGTAATCAATCATGCTTTGTTAATCTTACAATTTATGGTCTCAAATATGCATTTTAAGTCATGCAGCCTGTGAAATGTATTTCCCTCATAATCTACTTTACTTATCTTTATATATTTCAAAATGTTTATGAATCTCAAATGATACAGGCTTTACAATTGAATTTTAAATGGTAACGGTATTGTTCTATAGCTTGTTTTAAGATTTTCATAGAATCTTTAATTTACTAAGTAAAGTGAAATTTAAACTCCTACCTCACCTGGGGCAAAATACAAAATTTTGTTTTTATTTCAGATGGCATTTTAAGGATATATTCCATTCATTTATGATGATATTCCGTGTACTATGTGGAGAATGGATAGAACCACTTTGGGATTGTATGCGTGCTGCTAATGAAATCTGCATGGCTGTCTTCCTTCCTACACTTGTGTTAGGTTATTTCATTGTAAGTTGAGACAAATTTTATCAGGGTTTGGAACTTTTTCCTCCTTCTTTGCATGTCAAATGTAAACATGCATCAACTTAGAAATTTAGTAAATAATATTTCTTAATTCAAGACCATGACAGTATGTGTGTTATTTACATTGTAATTTAAATATTCATTAGATGAAAGCAGATTTTGTTTTATGAAAATATATAAAGAATAAACCACTTGTGTAAAGGCTGTGTCTATACCACAAGTGTAGGGGTCAAGTTTATATAAATATGTCAAGTCTATCTAAAACATTTACTAATAGTCACTAAGCTCCAATATTTACGATTTATTATAAAGTTTATACAATAGACTTGGTTGTATTGGACAGGTGTTGAACCTTTTCTTGGCTTTGTTGCTGAATGCGTTTGCTAGTGATACTTTACGTGACGCAAAGGAGAGCGAGGAAGATACAAAGCTGAAGATTGCCTTCAAAAGACTGTTTGACCTGTGTTGTTGTTGCTTCAAGAAAAAGAATTCTGATGTTAACTCTGTCACACCTGATAGGGATGATGAAGATTTGGGCTCTGTTGAAGAAATTCATGAAAAATCAAGTAAGTATTTTGTGATGTTTGAGTAATATTTATAAAAATTTTGCCAGTAACTCATGAAATCTTTAAGCTTGTACAGCAACTTTCACAGTTGCATAAGTTGCATAAATAAATGTTTTCTTTTTTTTTTGTCATGTAACATCACTTGTTTTATTGTAATATAATCAATAATTATGTTTAAATGTCACATAAATGTATATCTTACAAAACACTTATGATCTTTGTGCAAGTCTGGTCTCAAAGAACAGGTTTAAGAGTTTTTGTTTACATAATTGACATTATTGTTTTTACAGATGGAATGAAGCCTGTAAATGGTGCTGTTAAAAATGATGTAGTGGACAATGCATTTACAACCAAACGAGATCAGTATTATGACTTTAATAAGACTTTAGAAGCATCTAAGAAAAAGGGCAACGAAGTAGCAGATGAAGTAAAGGAAAATACAAAAGACACTGCAGCCATTTTAGATGAAGATAAAAAATCTGACAAAAAGGAAAAAGAAGGGGTGCGTATTTATAAGGTACCAAAGCCAAGGCCGATACCAAAGATGGTTGGTAAAGATAGAAACAAAGTTGATACCACATTAAACGTGAAACCAGCAAAAGATGCTGATGAGCTTGAACTTGGTGCTGAAGCTTCAAATATTAAAGAAGAAGATAAAGATGATAAAGAGAATGAGGACAAGATTATAGAAATCTATGATTGGTGGCCGCTTTGGATATCAAAAAGGTATGACAGTCTCAGTTTTAACCAAACCAAATACATTGCTTAATTTGACCACAGTTTCTTTGTTTTTGACCAATTCAGCAAGTCAATAAACTTTTTGACCTCATAAATTTTCAGAATTTACACAGCCTTTGAAACTTCAATCATATATATTTTGTTTGATTAAATACACACCCTATTAATTATTGCTCTAGTTATATGATTTGAGAAATTGTTTGGCCTGTTTATAACAATAACAGATGAATGTCATTTTGTAACCTTATTCAACTTTTATATTGCAGGCTGCATAAGAAGAATTGGTAAGATTAAATTTTGTCATTTGATGGGATCATTTATTTTTTGAATGCATATATTTCTTCCAAATTGTATTCAAATAAAGTTTAAAGGATTTTAATAAGAGTTTCTATAGAACTTTCTTATTTACCTTGCAATTTCTTGTTTGGTTGCTTTGTACATTGTATATTTTTACAACATAAGTTTTAAAACATACCAATAAATATGTTAAAAAAAAATTATCACACAATTTACAATGTTAAATCAGATGAAAATACAGTCTAGACTGTTTTAAGAGACCTACCTACGATTCTTTTTTTGCTTTTTTCAGCCGCCATGTTTTGTAAACAAATTGAATCTCGTCACAAATAACATCGCGCGAGATAACGAACGATAACTCTTTCGTGTATAAATTTTCTGGGGAGCGTCTCAAAGTCGGTAAAAACAGTCTGAAAAGCTGATCGGGACCCGGATTTCATAGTCGTTTGTCGCGTAAGACAGGGAGTCGCTTAATTCAGTCTAAATTAATAGTAAATTGCGTCGGGGGCAAAAAATAGCGTCGCATATGACAGGGAGTCGTCTAATTCAGGGGGTCGTTAAGGCAGTCTCGACTGTACTGCTTTAGTTATTGCATAATTTAAAATCTGGTCTTCTTTTAGTCATGTTAAGTGAAAAAATACTGTATTTTAAAAGTTAGATATTATCTATTGATTTTTAAATTTTACTGTGATAATGATAGTTTAATATCATTTAACATTTTGTTTATGAGTATAGTGGAAAACCTTTTTAATTACATAAATTTTCATTCATGTTTCTTGTTTTTGAAAAAGTTTGATTTTGTTGCTGACTAATGAGATATATTCAATATCAGATAAGAGTAAATCTACAATGCATCTAGTCATTTTGCTGTATTCTAAAACTTGTTAATATATTGTATTATATATAATTTCCACCCAGGTGTTTCTGCTGTTGGGGTTATGATGAGAATTCACCATTCTGGGAGAAATGGTTTATGTTTCGAGTGTATATGAATATGGTGGCTGAGCACAAGGTGTTTGAGGCGATCATTCTCTTCCTTATTGCTGTCAGCAGTATTACCTTGGTGAGATCATACAAATTATTTTCTTGTCACAACTTTGTTTTGTTTAAACAAAAGGAGATAAAAAAAAATGGAGAGTTTGAAGAAAAAATAAATTAGAACACTTGATATTTTATATATATAACAGTCATGAAAATTTCTCCTTAGAAAACAAATCATGAAATATTGTTTTTAAAAAACTGAAATATATTTCTTGAATGTAAATTCCAAAGAAAATGAAACATAGAGAATTTTTAAATGCATGTTATTACATGTTAGATCACATTTAAGATCACTTAAGTTTTTTTGTTTTTAAGTCAAAGGTATTAGTTGAATAAATACTGTTCCTTTTTACACTTTATTCTAAAATTGTAATGATGTGAATGGCAAACTATTATTACATTTTATCAAATAAAGTGAAATTAATATTTTGTTCCAATGTTATATATTGTATATTACATATAATGTTACGTTTGGCGTTTCACAATTGTTTTGTTAAATAATTTTAGCTTCTTGTATTAACCAGTGTTCTGTAACTTTGTGAGTTTGTTTTACATATTAGATTTATTCAATTGCAGGCATTTGAGGATGTGAACTTGTATTCTAGACCAGCTCTAGTATCAGCTCTATACTGGCTCAATATTATCTTTGCTACATTATTTGGTATTGAGATGTTGATAAAATGGTGTGCTTTTGGTTTCAAACGGTATTTTACAAGCTTCTGGTGCTTACTTGACTTCCTGATTGTAGTGGTAAGACTTCATTTTACATTCATTTTGTTTATTATTCTTTTCTTTGTTTTTTTTATCTTTTCAACTCACTTTCATGTGAGGAAGTATTCAGCTAGCTTACAGAACATAAGTGGTTCTTTCTACTTGGGGTGCCTGTTTACTCAGGTGCCTGTGTGTGCCTGAGAACATCATAATGCAAGGTGGGGCACCAGAGGTCTTCCTCCATCAGTAAAGCTGGAAAGTTGCCATAAGATCTTTACAGTGTTGGTGCAATGAAAAATCCAACAAAAAAATTAACTAGCTCTTACATTATGATACAAAGAATTCTCTGATTGAGGACAACTTCATCTGTTGTTGTTGTTATTTTTCTCAAATTTCCATGAAATATTTTCTCCACATGAAGGATGACATGGTATCATGTCTTATATTTATTATGTTTTGAGGCTGTAAATATTCACTCTAAATTATATAAATTTATCATTTTTTTTATTCTATGAAAGGACCGGATAAATATTTTAACATTTCCTCAACTGTAATATGCTTTCTCTTCCTTTCGTTTTTTGTAGTCTCTTGAAAATCTTCAATATGTTGCCTTAAGTTTTTTACATAGTGCATGAATGAAATGCTACAACATTATGAAATGTTCTTGTTTTTGTTCAATATAAGACATTTTTCTATTTATAGATATCAGTAGCTAGCTTGATAGCTGAGGCATATGGTGCTGCTAACTTCTCGGCTTTCCGCTCACTCAGAACATTACGTGCATTAAGACCACTAAGAGCTATATCTAGATGGCAGGGAATGAGGGTAAATACAAATATATAAGAGCGCTATGACAAAACCAACACATTGCATTTGTGACCAGCATGGATGCAGATCAGCCTGTGCATCCACGCAGTCTGATCAGGATTCATGCTGTTCGCTTACAAACCCTATTACAAGTAGAGAAACTAATAACGAACATCATGGATCCTGATCAGATTGTGTGGATGCACAGGCTGGTCTGAATCCATGCTGGTTGCAAATGCACTGAGTCTGTGTTGGTTTTGTTATGGCGCGGCTCATTTTAATTTAATTATTATTATTATTTATGTTTGCATAACAATTTTATCCTGTATAAGAAAATATTTAGTTATTTGTTTTACTGTATCAATGACTATGATCATGCTGAATTTTATGTCTTCTTTTATTGATTATTAAGGTTGATTGGATAGTTGTAAAATTCATTTTTTGCACAGTATATTTTTTAGGGATGTCATCTGGAGCCGAAATGGCCATCCGGATATTCGGATCGTTGTTATATTCTTAGTTGGCTGATATGACATAACCATTTTTTCGCAAACTTTTTCAAAGTGTAGTATTTCGTTTTACTTCCTTTTTAATTGAATGTTACGTATCAAAAAAATTTCGGTATTGATTTTATTTTTTTCTATGTAGTATATGACTGTTATCGATAAATTTAGTGAGTATGGTACTTACGATTTCAAATGAAATGAAAACGAAATTTATGGCCAATTTTCTCAATTCCTCAATTAGTGCTATAATACACAATAACACTCTCTCACATTTGGGAAAACAAAATAGTCACCCTTAAAAAATTAGATATAATGTTTCCATTGTTCAATAACGCGCATTCAATTTACACACGATGACCTCTGACAGGTGTGTAGAATAATAAAACTGTGATAATTAACATATTATTATTTGTAAGTGCATTTCTTGATTTGATTATTTTATTTCTGCAGATTTTTCATCTTCTCAAAATAAGGAGTCGATGGGTCAGTACTCCGAAATATATGTAAAAAATAATAGTCTAATTAAATATTTAAATTAGGACATGAAAAATGTAACATCGCTGCCGATGAAAATCGCATGAGAATATTCATCTTTAATCCTACAAAATCTATATTTGTTTGGTGTTTAATATAGATTAACAACATGTGTCATACCGGACACCTAATTATTATAGTAATTATTGATTTTTTGTGGTCTGCAGAGATTATGATGTGTATTGTCAAACTAAGGTACATATACAATATGGTGTCAACACCATGCCTACGTCGAGTATTTTAACGCATGTATTTTTCACATTTTCTTAACATTCTGAAATATTTTATACGAACATCGGGATCCAAAAAACGGCTCCGGACACCCAAACGTGATCCAAACGTTCGGACATCTGGACTCTGAATGACATCCTAATATTTTTGTTTCCTTTTTAGTATTAGTTAATCATTCATTAAAGCATAATATAGGGATGGAGTTAAAGATGTGTCTTTTAAAATGTCTAACTTAAGGTCAGATTTTGATACAAATCAGATATTGTATACTAAACCTTGATTAAAAAATATCTTAACATCTTTGCTTTGACATTAAATGCACTTAAAGACTTTTTTATATTTCAGATTGTAGTGAATGCATTAATGATGGCTATTCCTAGTATTGTGAATGTACTTGTGGTGTGCCTCGTGTTTTGGCTCATATTTAGTATATTGGGTGTGCAGTTCTTCAAAGGAGAGTTTTATTTCTGTACTGAGGATGGTGAAAACATGGCAGACCCTGACATTATACCAGACAAGGCAACATGTCTGGCCAATAACTTGACATGGAAGAACTATGACATCAACTTTGATAATGTGTTACAAGGATTTTTAGCCTTGTTTCAAGTGGTATGTAATATTTACAGCTCAGAAGAATTGTAACAGAAAAGCATTAGATGAAATAGAATAAGAAAATGATTAAAGAATTAAGAATCATTTAATGTTATTATATGGGATGTACACTGTTGAAATTCAAAGTTAGTAACATATAGTTACCACACATTTAGATTAACTATTCAAATCAAATTTTTCTTTTAAATGCACTTTGCAAAATATTTTGCTTTAATCAAAAGGAATGTTGTGTTATATTTGTAAAAAAATGTTTTAAAGAAGAATACTAGAGATTTTTGTTACATATGTTACATTGTTTTTATTTAGGCAACATTTGAAGGTTGGATGGAAGTGATGTCACTGGCTGTAGACAGTGTTGGTATTGACAAGCAGCCAAAGTTTGAGAACTCACTGTACATGTACCTGTTCTTTGTTGCATTTATTATATTTGGAGCCTTCTTTACCCTCAACCTCTTCATTGGTGTCATTATAGACAACTTTAATATGCTCAAGAAAAAGGTACATCATCAAAGTTGTTATAACCTGACAATATTTTCTATTTTAAGCCTTGTCTATTCAAAGAAGGGACAGCTTTAGTACTTATCACACCATCAGGGTAGCTTGTTATTCAATAATGATCAGATTACTAGTAAAATATGTGTTATTTTATATGATTTCTGAAAAAAATTATTCTAAAACAAACCTGATGTTTATATAATTGGAATAAATGTGGAAATGATTTTGATATTTTGTAATGTGACACACCTGCAAATGAATAGAAAAAACGTAAACTTTTTTTAGTAAAATACAGTTTTAGTTTTAGAAAATTCAACTTATTCAGATAAGGTGACACCATGGAATGTACCTGGAAAATATGTCAGATTTATTTTTACAAAATATATGTACTGTTAAGACATTAAGACAAAATTGTAGTCGTGTTGCCCTTAGGTTTTTAAGTGAATGTATGTTCTATTTTGATATGTATGTTTTCAGTATGATGGAAGTTATTTAGATATGTTCCTCACATCTGGGCAACGACAGTATTACAACACAATCAAGAAACTGGGCAATAAGAAACCACAGAAAACTATAAAGAGGCCAAAGGTAGGCTAAAATTGTTTAATATTTGTATAATTCATTATTAAACTAACCATCCCCTTGCCTGAAACTATTTGTATTCTGAGGATGACAGTGGATGGTATGCGATCTGCAATGATTGATTTTGTGTGTCATACAAGTTCTGATTTTTAATTTAAGGAGTAAATATAAATGAGGATATTTTGATTTCATGCTATATGTTATACTTGTAGTAATGTCTATTTTTTATCAAACTATATGTATGTACTGAGTTCATCTAATATATACTGATAAGCAGTGTTGTATGCTTTTGTATTGTGTTAATTGATGGTTCATTATCTGTAATTATCTATCTTTATTCAATTTAAAAATTGTCTTATGCTGGTTTACTTATTCTGATGCTTTAAATCAAGACTGCAACAAAATTCCATTCTCTTAAATACATAAGTCTTGTATATTCTTATATATATAAAATAAATTAAAAAAAAATCTTGACAAAGTTTCTAGACAAGACAAATTAGTGTAGTTTCACTTTTAATTTTTATAAATGTTGTTTTGCTTACAAAGAATTGCTTAAAATGGATGGTGAGTGGTTTAGAAATGCACTGTGTTAGAAAAAGAGATTAATTCAATATGAATATATTGCTTCTTATAACAAACTTTGTCTAAATGTCAGTTTCTTCTGTGTCCAATTGATGTATTTTTGTGTCGATTATTCTTAAAATCTTCATTTTTTAGCTCGACTTTTCTATGAAAAGGGGAGCTATCCTACTCGCCCCGGCGTCGGCGTCGGCGTTGGCGTTGGCGTCACACCTTGGTTAAGTTTTTCGTACCACCCCACTTTATTTCAGAAGTATTACAAGTATGGCTTTGAAACTTACCATACTTGTTCACCATCATAACCTCCATCTACAGACAAGAGTACATAACTCTGTCAAGGTTTTTGACAGAATTATGGCCCTTTTTTGACTTAGAAAGTGTATTGAGCTTGGTTAAGTTTTTTGTACCACCTCACTTTATTTCAAAACCATTGGAGGTATTGCTTTGAAACTGACCATATTGTTTACCATCACGACCTTCATCAACAGACAAGAGGACATAACTCTGTCAAGGTTTTTGACAGAATTATGCCCCTTTTTGACTTAGAAAATACATTGAATATGGGTAAAATCCACTTATGCCTTAACCCTTTGAGATATTGCTTTGAAACTTTTAATGCTATTTCACATCATTACCCCCATCTGTACGCAAGAGAAGGTAACTCTGTCAAGGATTTGTTTTAAAAATTAAGGCCTTTTATCGACTTAGAATCTTGGTTAAGTTTTTAGTACCAGTCCACTTTTTGACTGAACTGTTTGAGATATTAATTTGAAAGTTGGAATACTTGTTTACAATCATGATTCCCAAACATGTCCAGGAGAAGGTAATTCTGTCAAAGATTTTATTTGAATTATGGCCCTTAACTGTCAATGTTTTGTATTATAGGCAAGCACTAAAAAACTTAAAAAATCTAAAAAAATTCATTCCTATCCACTTGTTCACTTTACCATAAATTATGTCATATAAACATTGCTGTAATATTCAAGGGTATCAAACAACTAGTTCACTTTAAAAATACAGAGATTCTTGTATTGCCTTTTACTGCAAAAACTTTTTTTATTGGCAAGCAATAAAAAAGTCGAGCGCGCTGTCTTACGGACAGCTCTTGTTATTGATTCTTTGTGCACTTTTAAAAGACTAAGTCCTCTGAATAATGTTATCAAGTGCATGGGAGAATGCATAAAATATTCAAATTTATACAATATTCTAAAGCTTGAAAAACAATGTATTTATATCACAGCTTAGCTCTTGGCCATTTTCTTTTACATTTTACGATTGGAAATAATGCTTTATTCACATTGATAAAAATATTTTCATTTCTTTTTATGTATTAACTGTATAACACCATTGTATAATTGTTAAACATATTTAAACTTGCCCATATTTTTTTAGACAATAATTCATTCATCTGCTATACTGACTAATTTCTGATTGATTGTTTTTTACATAAAAGTTTCATATTCTTAGTTAAACCACCACTTTTCATGTCATATGACATACTTTTAACTTTATGAAAGCTTGTGAAAACATAATGCAATTATGGACATTTATGACACAAATGTCATTTTATACATCTTTAAAAGTTCCATGCAGGATTCGAACTTTCAACACCCAAGGAATGATAGTATATTTCGTTTGCTTCCTGGCACATTATCCCTGTTTATGGATAAGTGTTTCTCAACAATATTTGGATATGGAAATTTGAATTTCAAACATTTTTCACAAGAATGACTAACAGCAGAACGTATATGGTTGTCTTGAGCTTTCACAATATTTGGCTTGTGTTTATTCTTTTAGATAGATGTTTTAGCAGTCATTTCCTTGGTCTGTCAAGTTTAGTGACAGCTATTGTCTTATAGATGTAGGTTGTTGTAAACTGAATGTACTTACTTAGCTCTAATGAAAATTGACATTCTTGATGTACTTTTATTTTGATAAACCATTGTTGATATGATTATGTTTTCACGTTTTATTTTCCATTGATCATTTCAGAACAAAATTCAAGGAATCTTCTACGATATTTCCAATAGCAGCAAGTTTGAGCTGTGTATTGTTGTCTTTATTTTCTTAAACATGATCCAAATGGCTGTGGATCATTACAACCAGACACAGATGGTCACCGATGTACTTGCCATGCTTAATATTCTCTTTGTGGTCATCTTTACCCTTGAGGCCATCGTCAAAATCATCGGTCTTCGTTGGCATTACTTCACCATGCCTTGGAACGTATTTGACTTCGTCGTGGTTGTTCTCTCTCTTTTGGGTATGTATAATTACATGGAAATATTTCTATTTTGATATATGACAAGTTCAGTGTTTTGTTGTTGTTGTTTTTTCATGACATTGCACACTTTTGAATATAATTCTTTCCGTAGTTTATTCAAAACATAATTCAAATATTTCTAAATTACATTTTTGCTTAAATATCCTTTAATATAAAAGTTCATATATAATAGTATAAATTTGATAAGAAATTCTTATATTTCAATAATAATCATAAACTAAAGTAAGAAATAATGTTGTCAGTAGAGATCGTGTTATTAAAATGATACTTATCTTGTCCTTATTTTTTCTAAATTATACATTAAAATTCCTAGCGATATGTTTATGTGCAATTTCATGCAATATAATGTCTTTCTTTCTCATTTACTAACCAGATATTACTGCATGGCTGTTCTCCTATGGTGTACTGTTAAAAGTCTTTGTATCTATGAAAACAAAAAGAAAATAATTTTATAAATATTTAAATACAGCAATCTATATTGTATTATTAGATTCATTACTTTGACAAAACTGTACACCATCAATGAGGGTGGAGGGCATGATTTTACAAAAGAGAATTAGTATTTCTTTGCAAACTGTTTTGTTATGTTTGGGTGATTATCCAATAAGGACAACCAATTGCATCGCCTTATCATATTGTACTGTATGTAAAATTTGCATGAAAGAATAGAGTAGCATTGACATTCTTATATTTCTTAAGACTTACCTTACCCGTTATTGCTTGTTACATGGTCCATGATTGTTAAACTAATATGATTTTATTATTCGATACGTAAGGATAATTATGCTAAACTTTTGTTCAGACGTTATTTTCAAAGAAGTTGAAGGAGGTAATTTAAAGAGTGTCCAGACCATTTAGTGGTCTAAAGCGTGATGTATAGGCTAAATTCATCTCCGATCTCTAGATACCCGTCTTTCTGTACGCTAGCTTTAGATACATAGACTTTTATCATTTCAAATTGTGCACTGTGTCAGCCTTTTCTGAATAGTACCAACCGTATAATTTTTAAATAAAAGAACAAATCATTTCTTCATTGTACACGCTTTCGTGGTGTGTATATTAAAAAGATATGTTATTGCCGGGCGCCATAGGTTCAAACATTTTTGCACTTTTAAGCATAATGGTAATGGTATCGGGTGCATGGTTTTACAATACGTTCTTTAGTTTGTCATCGTCTTTATTTAAAGTTGTCCATAAGTAATTGACTTTTCTCAGAGATAATTTTATTCTATCTCTGCGACAGTTGAACTTAAATATTTAAACGAAATTGAAAAAAAAGCCTTTGATTTGACCCTGGTATTCAAAAAATGAGATACAATGCAAACTGTGACTGGTAAATGAGCAGGAAAGAATGGAGACGATTGTTATTATAGCAACTAGGCTTTTGAAAAATAGATTGTTGTTTTCAACATCAAAATTAGATACTTATGTTAACTGTCGGTATAATATGTGACCAGTCTTTGGAAATTTTTACTTGTAAATCCTACATTTCATGCAGACGTAGCGATTTTGATCGCCGCAGCACAAAACGGTATGGAATAATGTTGAACAACTGTTTTCACACACAACTTTCGGTTTACCTTTGTCTTATTCTTTTCTGTGATTTTCTTCTGCCAGCCATTACGTTCCATTTTGGACTCTTTAAGTTTCATTAAACTCGCTTTCGTCGAAAATATTTTCCGACCACTAGTAAACATATGATGAGCGTTTTCGCGTTAATTAGGAACAGCAACTAATTTACAAAACATTTGATTGCTTTGTACATGTTTGTTCTTGTTCCCATTTTATTGTTTACACTTTTGGTATTTTGGTTACTGCATGTGCTTTATTTAAAGCTAAGACAGTTGTATACGACAATTCAATTTACGACACAATAATGTTGGTGTAGGGAGACAAGTTTTGTTGCAGTGTTATACAACTGTCTTATACACAAAGTTTCTAGTGCCGAAATAGCATTTTTCAAACGAATGGAGTTAGTATGGACACAATGGAATATGTATGGAACACAGAAAGGTACAAAACACTTGTATAGCTGAAGCTTACAAAAATTAAGCAACACAAATACTTCAGTCAGAAATTTTGATATATCTGAAGCAGTCTTATACATCTTTTAGATGCCCTGTATATTTTCATACTTCCATACGTATTCCATAAAGAATCGGGATACCGTGTATTTTCCAAACGTATTCCATATATTTTCCATAAGGATTCCATGGGATGCATGTTAATTCCCACATGGAAAAGACAAAAAATCCGTATGGAAAGGGCGTGTTAATTCCATACGGATTCAGTAATTTTTCATGTGGACGTTTCTAGTTGGTAAGTTGTTATTTTTTCAGTATTTGTTACATTATATTTTTGAGAATTTTGCCTTTAATTAACATACTTAACGTAATACCTGTATTGAAAATTGTTCATAAAGTTACCTTGTATTGCATGTCATTTGTTGGAGATGCGTTCCTTTGCATACTGCTTGCTTTTTGTTATCTTTTTAATCCCTTTTGGAAACTAGTTTAATAATTTTTAGAATAATTATTTATGTTTACTGTTTTAACCTTATGAATCACTTTCTTAAACGAAGTTTACAGTTAAAAGTAAATTAGTTTCTTTCATTTTATTATAAAAAAGAAGATAATGAAGAATTTCGATCTGAATTCTCCATCCTTGTTATTTTTCAGGTGTACTTCTTAGTGACGTAATGTCAGGTGTCATTGTTAGTCCAACACTGTTACGTGTTGTAAGAGTCTTCAGAATTGGCCGTGTGTTACGCCTCATTAAAGCTGCTAAAGGAATCAGGAAACTGCTTTTTGCTCTCGTTATTTCATTACCAGCTTTGCTCAACATCGGAATGCTTCTATTTCTGATAATGTACATATACGCGATCATCTTTCTCTCTACGTTCCAAAATCTGAAAATAACTGGAGTATTAGACGATGATGTTGTAAATTTTAAAACCTTCCTCAACAGTTTCTTACTCTTGTTCCGCCTGTCAACAGCAGCTGGCTGGAATGATGTACTTCTCCCTATGTTAGTCCAACCACCTAATTGTAATGATACCCACTACACTCGGGATGATGGAGTTATTATGGAGCAATCGCCTGGGGACTGCGGTACACCGTGGATGGCCGTTATCGGACTCACGAGTTACATTCTTATAATATTTTTAGTGGTGATCAATATGTTTATTGCAGTTATTCTTGAAAACTTTAATCAGGCTCACGAGCAAGAAGAGGCAGGAATTACTGAGGATGACTTTGATATGTTTTATGTGATTTGGGAGAAATATGACCCTTTAGCAACACAGTTTATAAAGTATGAACAAATGTCTAATTTCGTTGCTGATTTGGATCCACCACTAAGTATACCCAAACCCAATGAGATAGCTATTGTTTCGTTTGACCTTCCTATTGCAGAAGGAGACAAATTACATTGTTTAGATGTACTAATGGGTTTAGTAAAATATGTTCTTGGTAATGTAGAGGAGACTCCAGAATTTCAACAGTTACACGAACAAATGGAAAGACGATTTCAGACTGCTTTCCCAACTCGTGTTACTACTATACGTAAAACAACAACAATGATGCGGAAAAAAGAAGATGTTGCAGCAAAGACTCTGCAACGAGCTTGGAGGAGCTGGAAAGCTCAAAAGCAGATGAAAAGTATAGCTGCATTGGCGATGCAGCATCATAGTCGTATTAGTGTTGCAAATCTTTCAGACACTCGCCAGAAATCGAGCTCAATTCGTAACCTTGGGACGAGATTAACGACGGCACTTAGTGCATTTTTTGGCTCGACACGGTCAAGTAGTGCAGTAAGTAGCGTTGAAAGCGAAACTTTGCCAGCGGGAGAATCACACAATCCGAGAAGGAAACAAGCTTCAAGCGCAATAGAACTGCCTCAGGTATCAAGTTCGTACCGGTCGGAAAGGAAGCGTGATGTTGTGTTATGATAGGGGCCTTATTGACCTGAAAACTTGTTGAAAACTATGTGCTACAACATTTGATTGTAAATTATGATCAGTTTGTCTATTTTGCGGAAAACATTTTTTCATATCTTTTATTTATATGATGCCATTGTATGGTGAAGAAATCCTGTACTCAAGGGGCGATTAAGCTAATATGTCTCAGCTCTTCCATTCTCCAAATTATAGACAGTTATATGCACAATGAAAATGAGACACCGATGGCTATGTATGGAACAATGTTATGTTGATGTTTGAGAAAGACACTGATTTGTTAGCTACTGTATTACATTTTCTCTTTAATTCCGAGAATTATTTCATGTAAAATGTAATCTTATATTTTGAGTAACCTTCTTAATTATTCTTTATATGCCATAACACTGTTAGAGATAACTTGCTTGGTGCTGGCAGAGTTTTGTTTTAGCACGGCCGAACATTTGATCACCTTCAAAGATTACTCAAGTTTCCATAAGAGTTTGAAATTTAAAACGTAATACATTTTTCCAATCTTGAACGGTAAACGTAATACAATTCCCTATTCCTACTTAAGTATTATTATAAATTTGATAAGTACATGTGTCGTATTTTTCTGGAAACCTGTACATGTCAAAAACTTCCCTTGCCAGATAGTATTTATCATCTGTGATAACTTATTTAAATGATGATTGATATTATATTTTGTAACATGTTTTTATTCTGTAAATAGTTGACAAATGTGCTTGACCCATTTTACAATGTTCCTGTAATATTTTGTGAACAATTTGATGTAATATATCCAATATGTTTTATTCATTGCTTATATATTTTAGTGCCAAAATTATTTTAGAGAGTTGAAAATTTTTTTGCCCTTACCGATATTCATAAAATATGGTTATTTTAGCATGATATTTAAAAATGACTTACCTTTATAACGCAAATGTTACCCATGTCCATTTCTCGTTTGCTTTGCTCATTTTATTTACAAGTTTTGTATTTGAGTTAAATTAAAAAGCTTTTCAAAATCAGTTTGAGGTTTCTACTCACATTGCAAAGTATTGTTTTCCATACAAGTATCTAATTAGATATTTAGTAAGACATTTACCTGAGAGAAAAAAAAGCAAAATGAAATTATTTTTCCGATAATGCAGTATTGACGATAAAATCAGAATTGACGAGGCTCAAGAGAATGAATACGATGTTTAGGAAATATTAGACTGTTGCCAATACTTATTGTTAAAGTCTTCCTAGCAAAATATGTGATGATTGACTTATTTATTTTATTGTTGGCTAATGAAAATAACCTACTAAGGACTTATTGAATTTATTTCATTAATTTGAATATTTTTTTTCCTATTCCGAAACATTTATTTACTTATCTGTAATGTTCCACTGTTCATTGTCAATAAATTGTTTCGTTTACTGCATATTTTATGTCAATATGTCATACCAATATTTTTGTCTCTATCACAATGGTTAAATCTATCCATTTAGATATTGTTTCCATTATTCTGTTTTCCCTTTGTCCCATCTATATATACATCATCATTTATTGTCTGTGCTGTATTCAAATTTCAATGATAGTTATTCCATGCCAAAATTTTACTCAAAGTCAGTCATGTATAGTTTTATATAATTTTTATTAAAAAGAGGGAGTATCATGGCAACGACAGGGGTTTTTTTTTACAAATTTCATTCATTTTTAATTTCAAGTTATCACATTATTGATTTCTAGGTTTCGGGGCATCACTGATGACTAACTCGGTTAGCATCAAAGACTTAGTAACATCATGATGCCATGAATATCAATATAAATAAATCATTTATAAAGTATCTGATACTGAACAACAAGCTTTTTTCAGGGAATTTGACAAAACATTTGTGTAAGCCCAACGTTTTATGATCCATATTCCATCATTATGCCAAATATATGATCCATATTTAAGTACGTTAAATTCTATCCCACATTTCATGTTGAAAATATGATAATACTTTCATTTTTTTATGTCAATCATATTTTGATTCATGTTCACTTATGTTTTAATAGTCGTATATAATACTCTAGAATACCTACAGATGTCAATTGCAAGCACTCTGTAGATAATCAATTATCACGAATCAATTACATCCTGGTTTAAGATATCATGTAAAAAAACAATGTATTCTACAATGTTCGTTGTACTTGTTGATAACTGCTTCGAATATACTAGAAAATTAAATAATTTTAGATCAATTATTCTAAAAATAGAAAAGAAGGAAGAATCATTTTTGGAAAGTTTAGAAGAATAAGAATACAATGTATATTAGTGTGTGGATAATTGTAGAAGTGGCAATGGTAAAGAAAGATACTTCAACCTAATATGACTGTTTAATTAGTGTTTACTTTTTCTCTGTACATGAGTCATCATTATTTAAACATGTACCAATTGTAAATCTTCGTGTATATGATTATTAACATGATTTAATGGATATCAAGGGATATTTTATTGTTTTCCCAGAGTTGTTGACGTTTGTTTTACCTTAATAGCCTCATATCTTGACGCTAGGTTGACCAAAGGTTTATTAAATAAAAAAACAAAATCAGTGTTTACGTTATTCTTATTTCCTTGTTTGTCAGTGGTGATAGGTCGGTCTGTTAGGTAGAGACAGGAATGATTTAAGAAACCAGGGCGGAATATAGCATCATTTTGATATATTTACATCGTAAAAAAGACTCGAGAATAATTTTGACTTGTTGCAAATTGGTTGTAATATAGATATTTTTATTTATTCTCACGGAGTTACATTCTATTCAATTATCGCAACAGAGAGGCATTAACTTAGAATGCCATTTTTAAAACATATGTGAAATGCTTTGTTAATGAAATTTTCTAATTTTGGTAACCTAACTATTTGTTCTCCATCAGATTTTAGATGTGTATAATGCAATGAAATAATCGTCTACGAGAATGTGTTTTATTCTTGTACATCCAAGGATTTACAATGCCATAGCGATCAACAGTGACACATGTCCGTATACAGCTATATTCTATTGGCCTTAAGACATACAAGAAGTTGATATGGTTTTTTTTCTGGTCCTTTGGCATCATTGATTGTTGAATATTGAATGCCGCTAACGTCAGTGCTAGGGGGCGTGGGAGATGCTGCACTTTTCCATTGAGTCTGTAGAAAATTGAATGGTTATTTTTTTTTTACATTCCAGTATCTGAAAAAAAAGTCCATGAATACAACTGACTTTAATAATATATTAAAGCAATGAGATAAACAGCAACTATATATACAGACATAGAGGATAGTGAATAAGTGTAGATACAATACTAAATTTATTGAACTTATTGAATAAAATCATATTTTGCTCACCAAAGGCTCGCATAATATAATTTTATTCAACTCGTTCAGTACATTCAGTATTGGACCTACACGACTAAAATATCCTGTTTATCACATATCCAAATAAGAACTGTTTACAGTGAAAGGGAAGCTCTTATGTTACGCTAACGCAAATTACGTCAAAATATATACACGGACGTGCTGTACCATTTTACAAAGCCGCAAAATCTTATTATTTACATACCGTTTACTTAAAAGTATGCAAAACTGAAGTTGCTATAAAATCATAAATGCCTTGGATAACTTTGAAATAAATTCAAATGCCTGCTGTTGTGTCAAGGGTTTTATCCTTAGATACCGATTCGTAATCTGTATATACACAAAACGCTTTTCATATACATTTCAGGAAGTATAATTACAATAAATGTACTACTGTAAATATCCTTTTACCGATAGTCAATTGGGGAATTGTTTTTGTCCTTTATATGATTGCCTTGTAACGATTTAATTTCGTACGTCTAGTTACATTTGCAGTGGTTCCAACAGTTTAACTTCGTAATTAATGTTTCATACAATTTGTTACTTTAAACCGTTAGCGCAGGTGAGCTTGTAATAGTTTTAGAGTACATATTAAATATTGTTTTTCATTTCAATTTTTATTACCTGTTGATAGGTAAATAAATCAATTTAGGGTCCTGTACTTTTTTTAACAGAATCTGTTATCAAATAACCATGCTTTATTTGTTTTAGTTGTCAGTTTTGGTAAGACGCTTGAAAAAAGATATCATTTTAACATGCATATTGACTATATAAAAGAATTAACAAAAATAATATGTAATTATACAAAGCACAGTTTATGCAGCATCTCTTTAACATTTTGAATTTATAAAATAAAAACGCTCACCTGAGCTGACAACAAAAAGTAACATAAGTTTTACTGTATCTTTGAAGCATTTAGAAATAGTGTAACAGCATTTATAACATAAGGACATGCTTCTTACAATAATAAGTGTAAGTAAATGCTGTACTGTTGTAATTAACGATTTCGGCCTTTTGAATGCTGCATTCTAAAATGATACATAAGAATGAATATTTCTATTAACGTTAAGAGCTTTATATGCCAAGGTGACCGATTGTCTCAATTTATAAGTCAACTAAACTGTGCTGAAAATTGCATGTCAAGTAAATCAACATTTTCATTTAAAAATCATATATTACAATCGTTATAACTATATTAAACGCATGCGGTTTAAGCATGTGGTATAATTACTAATGTACTAATGTACATTTCTTTACAATAGATATACCTTTATACAGTTGCAACGAGATTGTAATGAGATTAAATAATACATAGATCTTTTTCAAAACAAATATGCACTGATCGTAATCCTGTTTTCTAGACCCGAATTGTCGTCTGTATACTTAAAATGAAACTTGATATTAGTACAAGTTAATAAACATCATAATAATTGTGATATATATAAAGATATTAGGTTTTAATAAGACCAATCTTACCTTTATACCTTTAATCAACCATATACACTGTGACATAACTTTAATCGTATGACTTCAAAAATATAGATAACCACAATAGTCACATACAGCATGTCATTAAAGATATTCCCTGAAATTCATATGAGAAGAAGAATGTTTCATTTGCAAATTAACTCTCAAAAGAGTCAAATACAAGCTTTCATAATACATATATATACAATTGCATGTGTACATAAGTAAAATACTAATTACATAGCAAGATGACATGACTGCAACTATTGCTTTTCTTTATGATTTCTTTTATGATAAACGATTATCAATAATTTACTGTTTTATTTATAAGTACATTGTATAATAGATTACCTGTTAATTTGGTTTTAAAACAAGCATTTTTAACCCTTACCACGCCAAAGATCTTTAATGAATTTCTCGTTTTTTTAATCTGGACAAAACATTTAATTGTTTTTAGGGAAATTTTCAAGATATGACTTGACTTGGTCTGCAGTGCTAGAATCAGGTTAAAAGTTCATGTAATTTTAGATTCAAACTGGTTGTATATAAACAACAAACGAATGGTCCATCTAGGACTTTTATAATCCAATTATTCATAGTCTTGTGCAAAATTGGTATATCATTTCCACAAAGGTTCGTTAGTTCGAACGTGTCTTTTTTGTGTAAACAATTGTAAACATGTACAAAGCTGCCTTACTAATAGAATTAAAATTTACATTCAAACACAATGAACAGGCTCGTTGTTCGATGTTGTAGAAATATTGATTATGAATAGTTTGTGTATGGGTAATGCTAAATGAGCCGCGTCATGACAAAACCAACGTAATGCATTTGCGACCAGCATGGATCCAGACCAGCGTGCGCATCCGCGCAGTCTGATCAGGATCCATGCTGTTCGCTTACAAACCCTATAACAAGTAGAGAAACTGATAGCGAACATCATGAATCCTGATCAGACGGCGCGGATGCGCAGGCTGGTCTGGATCCATGTTGGTCGCAAACGCATTACGTTGGTTTTGTCATGATGTGGCTCAAATGTTTCTGCATGTAATCGCGAGGTAGATATATTGGTGAGTTTCGCACTAACATTAAACTTATCTTGCGCCATATGTTAACATCCTTCACCGAACATCTTTAGTCGTGCTCTGCGATCACTATGAAAATCAATTTAAACGGCGTATTGCATATTTAAAATTTACTTTCAAAATTCATTATATGCCATACAGGAGAAAAGAAACAAAAAAAGCTTGTTATAAGTAATTTGCTAAAGTTATACAAATAAACGTTCGCGAATAAATGTGCCTTTACACGCAACTCCTACAAAGACTGTTACTTACGAATCATTCATCACTATGAATCTAGTGAAACCATTCTTCTTCGTCTACGCTCCGATACTCTACGCTACGAAAGGTAGTGTAGCGTCAGTAAGGATATTGCTTGTGGCCCCTGCTTAGCTTATGATTTACTTTCCACTAGCCTTAGACAGTAATTACACTGATCTCATGCCAGACTTATGGCACTGTTAGATGATTCACGTTGTTCAAATACACGACAGAAAGTCTCAGATGTTTGGTAGTTAAAGCACCATTTGTTATACAATGATTATGTCCGCTGTTAATTTATTTGTTCTTCTAGTTTGCTATCTCGGATACTTCATTTGATTATTTGTGTGAGCTTCCATTTCTCTTTCGAATGAGTGTACCCAATTTCTTTTGTTTAAATGAAATTTGTTTTATTTTTTATTTCATGATTATTTTTGCCCCATCCTTTAACTATTACCACAACTGACAGTTGTTTTTAATTGGTAAAAATTTATTTGAGATTTCAATAATAATCATTTTTTGAAACTGTAACATTTCATATTGTAATGTCTGTAACGGATTACATAGATTCAAAATGAAGTATTGTTTTACTAAATGATGCGTTGTGTCAGACTACCTTTTGTTGTATATTGCATTTTAGATTTGTAAAATTTTGTCAAGAGAACATTTCAAAAGTAGTGTAGCGTAATTTGATTGTTTTATTTCATAAAATACCAATCCTAATTATTTACTTTTTTTCTACTTTTTTTCAGGTGTGATACTGGAGGACTTGTTACAGAATGTCAACTTCAGTCCAACGTTACTGCGTGTTGTCCGTGTATTCCGAATAGGCCGCGTACTACGTTTGATTAAGGCGGCAAAGGGTATAAGGAAACTCATGTTTGCGCTCATTATTTCGCTACCAGCCTTATTCAATATCGGAATGTTGCTTTTCCTGATCATGTACATATACGCTATTGTATGTCTTTCAACATTTCAAAACTTGAAAATAAAGGAGCTTTTGGGATGAGGACGTGTAAATTTTTAAAAAACCCTTTTTGGGAAAAACATTTTTTAAATTTTTTATTTAGACGTCTACAGGGCAGGGGGGAATATATTCTTATTCCGATGAGGGTTTAACTAAACCCCGGACTGTAATAGTACAAATTTTAAAAGAACTGATGGAAACTTTTGTTAAAGGCGGGAACCCCGGGGGAGATTGGGGGGAACACTTTTATGCAGTCCCCTGCACTTTGTTCTTATTTTCCAAAATTTTCCTTGTGGTTATTAACATTTTTTATGGGCTGTTTTTTTAAAAAAAACTTAAACCCAACTCACGGAGAAAGGGGGAGGTGGGCATTACTGAGGATGATTTTGAAATGTTTTATACTGTGTGGGAACGCTATGATCCTCTCGCCACACAGTTTATCAAATTTGAACAATTGTCTCATTTTGTAGCGGATTTAGAACCGCCTTTATGTATTCCAAAGCCAAACGAAATAGCACTTGTGTCGTTTGATCTACCAATAGTAGAAGGAGATAAGTTACATTGTCTTGACGTACTTATGGCTCTTGTAAAGTACGTGCTCGGTAGTGTAGACGAAACACCGGAGTTTAAAGAACTTCATCAACAAATGGAAGTTCGATTCCAAGATGCTTTCCCAACACGTGTAAATACAAATCGTAAAACCACGACCATGATGCGGAAAAAGGAAGATGTCGCTGCGAAAACATTACAGCGCGCTTGGAGAAGTTGGAAAACACAGAAACAAATGAAAAATATTGCATCATTGGCAATACAACAACAAAATCAAAAGAAAACTGGTCAAACTAAGGAGGCTCGTGGTAAAGCTAGCTCTATACGTAATCTTAGTGTACGTTTGTCGACAGCGTTAACGGGATTTTTTGGCTCCTCTAGACCTTCCAGTGCTATCAGTAGAGTAAGTGTGACAAGTATCAATGAAAAGAAGCAACAGTCTAAACCGAAGAGTGATAATAACTCTAAAAGAGCAAAAGCTCGAGACGCGCTTGAGATGCCTAAAGTTTCTGTTTTATACAGCCCCGAGAAAGATGCTGATATAGTTTTGTGATGAAACTACATGTACGTATAGTTTCTTATTGATTGTTTTTGTTACTTGAAAAGGGGCCCGTTCCCGCAAAAAGGGGTAAAAGTGTCCCCGGGATATGGGGGTGCTACATTTTAAGAGTTAAATTTACAAAGATATCATTTGATTGACAAGTTTCTAAACGTTTTATTTCATGACATTAAAATTATATTTTAGACCAAACTTGAAGATTTAATTTTACACAAGACCTGAATTTTGCTTGTTCCAGAAAATATAAAATTTAGCGAGTGTTTATGAAGAGTGACATCAAAACGAAGCGATAAGATTTTAGTGTGTTGCATTTAAAACTCAGTATGCATTTAATCATTGTATAAAAGATTTGTCTCATTTCATCATACTGTCTGGCATCAACTTAGATTTTAATCTGAAATTTTTACCGGATGACACGTAAGAAAAGTAAATAATAAATGAATTATTATGTTTGGTCATACAACTATCTTGAATACTTACAATATAGTGTTTTGCATTACGATTATGTTTGTGATTGTTTTGATAGATAAGATTGTATTTAGTAAGGCCCTGCTGCCTGTCACTTCTTCGATGCTTATTGGTATATTTGTCACTTGCCAAAATCATTACAAAAATATATTTATCTGTGATATAGGGGTAGTTTTTAGCTCGACTATTCGAAGAATATGAGAGCTATTGTAGTCGCCCCGGCGTCGGCGTCCGCGTCGGCGTCTGCGTTGGTTAAAGTTTTTTGTAAAGTCAAATATCTCAATTATTACTTGAGATATTCAATTGAAACTTACAATACTTATTTATAGTAACAAGCTACATCAGATTGACAAGTTGGATAACTCTGCCTACAATATTGACAGAATTATGCCCCTTTTTAACTTAGAAATTTTGGTTAAAGTTTTTTGTAAAGTCAAATATCTCAATTATTACTTGAGATATTCAATTGAAACTTACAATACTTATTTATAGTAACAAGCTACATCAGATTGACAAGTTGGATAACTCTGCCTACAATATTGACAGAATTATGCCCCTTTTTAACTTAGAAATTTTGGTTAAAGTTTTTTGTAAAGTCAAATATCTCAATTATTACTTGAGATATTCAATTGAAATTTAAAATACTTTTTTATAGTAACAATGTACATCAGTTTGCAAAATTGCATAACTCTGCCTGCAATATTTGCAGAGTTATTTGCCCCTTTGAAACTTAGAAATTTTGGTTAAAGGTCTTCAAATATAATTACTTGAAACTTTACACATGCACTTAGGGTCATAATTGGAGGGTCATAATTGTATGTCACTGACCAAGTTCCATAACTCTATCTTGCATTAAGGCTGATTCATATCCCCTTTTCTACTTAGTCTCTTGGTTGATGTTTACATGCAAGTTTTACATATCTCAATAACTATTAAAGATATTTATTTAAAACTTCACATATGGATTTAGGGTCATAATTGTAGGCCACTGACAAAGATCCATAATTCTATCTTGCAATTAAGCTGATTTTTCTCCCCTTTTTCAACTTAGAAATTCATGGTAAAGTTTTGCTTGTAAGCTGTTATCTCAATAACTACTGAAGGGTTTGTGCCTTTTTTGGGACAATTTTATGCATTCATAATAATAAAGCAGTTATTTACTTGATAAAACATCTTAATAACAAGCCTTTGTACCTTTTCTGTCAAATTTATGTATTCATAGGTAATTAGTATTATTATACTCAATAAAACACACTCGTGACATTACCTTCCGAATAGTCAAGCCAATACTGTATAATTAGACTCTCTCTAAGGCCTATAACATGAATTTATAAAAAAAATTAGCCCTTTTGTGAACTTAAAAAATTTAACATTATCAAGGCTCTTTTACTATCAAGCACTTTGAATAGTCGAGCGTGCTGTCCTACCGACAGCTCTTGTTTAAATACACTTTTTATTACAAACTTTTATTACTGATTAGTAATAATGTATGTATTATTACGAATTATATTGTTTTTTTTTCTTATTTATAAGCAAACTAAAGGTATGCCTCCGTGTTATTATGCTAGTTTTATTAAATTTCAGATTTTTATTTTCAAGGAAGTGAAATCATTAAATATTAAATATACTTGGTGCGTCAATTTTTGTGTCGCCTTGAAAAAGGCGACATATAGGGGTTACTTTTGTCGGCGGCGTCGTTGTCGGCGTCGTTGTCGGTGTCGTCGTCGTTGTCGGTGTCGGCGTCGGCGTCCCCTAAAGCTTGTCCGGAGCATAAGTCAGTCATTATAAGTCGGATTGACTTCAAACTTGGTATGCATGCTTCTCATAATGACCCGAAGTGCAGTGCACAAGAACCAGTACTCTGTACTCCTTATTTTTTGAGTTATTGCCCTTTGTTTATTTTCATACTTTATTTTTGTCCAGGCCATTTCTCCTTAAGTATAAAATCTATGGACTTGAAACTTCATAAGATGATAGATCTCATTAAGAAGAAGTGCAGTGCACAAGAACTGGTACTCTGCATTTCTTATTTTTTGAGTTATTGCCCTTTGTTAATTTTCATACTTTATTTTTGTCCAGGCCATTTCTCCTAAAGTATAAAAGCTATGGACTTGAAACTTCATAGGATGATAGATCTCATTAAGAAGAAGTGCAGTGCACAAGAACTGGTACTCTGCATTTCTTATTTTTTGAGTTATTGCCCTTTGTTAATTTTCATACTTTATTTTTGTCCAGGCCTTTTCTCCTAAAGTATAAAAGCTATGGACATGAAACTTCATAGGGTGATAGATCTCATTAAGAAGAAGTGCAGTGCTCAAGAACTGGTACTCTGCATTTCTTATTTTTTTAGTTATTGCCCTTTGTTAATTTTCATACTTTATTTTTGTCCAGGCCATTTCTCATAGATTATAAAAGCTTTAGACTTGAAACTTATTAGGATGATAGATCTTTTGATAAGAAGTGCAGTGCACAGAAACTGCTGATCTGCATTTCTTATTTTTTGAGTTATTGCCCTTTGTTAATTTTCATACTTTATTTTTGTCCAGGCCATTTCTCATAAATTATAAAAGCTTTAGACTTGAAACTTAATAGGATGACAGATTTTATTGATAAGAAGTGCAGTGCACAGAAACTGCTGATCTGCATTTCTTATTTTTTGAGTTATTGCCCTTTGTTGATTTTCAAATTTCATTTTTGTCTTTGCCATTTCTCTTAAACTATATTGTTTACAAGGCGACACATCCGACTCGCGGAGTTCTAGTTTATTATTTTTTTGTGCTCATGAACAATGTTGCAAATATTAAGAAAACTACTTACGTTTCATTTGCTCAGACTCGTACATAAAGAAATTTAATAACGGGGTTGAAAAAAGCCGCATACTTGTATTTAACAGTTTTTTTTAAATTATGATACAATTTTTTTCTAAGGGAATGTATTATTATTTTACTTCAATGTTCATATTTCATCGGTTTATTTCATGGTATGACCTGTGTATGTACAATGTTTAAGTATATGATAATACATGTATTTTGTTATTATTTTACATATACAAAATATTTTGCCTTTTTCTATGTTGAAACAAATGATTTTCTTTTTGTCAAAGTATAAATATGTGTCACCTTGTTGATGTTAATTAAAAGCGTTATATACAGAATCATGTTTAAGATCATTTAGAAATGCATTGGCTGGCTAATAACGATATCAAATTATTATATGTATACGTCATTTAAATGTGTAATAATGATAATGTACACGGTATCACATTTATCACGAAAAGTAATATAGAGTAAACTATTATTTTAAGGTGCACATCTTATTTAATTGATTGTATGATAGATTGAATTGAAATTGCGGTATGAAGCGCACAATGGTACAAAATTGTCCAAATGACATAAGATACAATTTTTGTTATGTTATGTTCTTGTTTTATAGACGTATCTCAAAATGGACTTCATTTCAACTACATGAATGTCATAATTTTGTCTGGGTATAGAAAATGTTACACGAATAAACTGACGAATTTAAATAACTTGATCAACTTACAGTATGTTTATTTTACAAATCTTTAACAAAAGCATTTACAATTTCACAAAAAAATATGAAAATGATAATGCAAAAAAATTACAGTTTATGTATAATGTTGCTTTTACCTATAACAAAGCATTGCTTAGAAAAGTAAGCTAAACTTCTTATATTAAGGAAATTTAGTATACCTGATTATTTGAACTACCTGCCAGTGCATATGTTTTACATTAAAAAGGAAGAGTAATTCCACTTTACATAGCTAGTTTGTTACCTATGTTGAATCCATGTCATTGCAAATCGCCGTTCATTATAAATACAAATGTGTGCCAAATTAAAGTTCTAAAGATTACTATTTGTAAATGGTGTACAGTAACAATAAAAGATCGTGTAATTTAGGAGAACATCATAAATATTGTTTTGATTAAACTAACGTTTTGTTGAAAGATATCACAATTAATATAAAGTATGGCATAAAAATATAAGCAAAAAGCAGTAATATTTCTGTCAATTGCGACTGTATGTGGTATACGATACAAAAACTTTGGAGTGCGAATTTTAATTTGGCACACGTCTGTATATCATTATTTAAATTGTTTTAAAACTGTGATATTTATAGAATTACTTTTTGTTATGTATTTATTGATAAATATATTGCTCAGATTTGTTTTTAACTCAAACTTTGACTGACGGTAGTACTTTTAAGACGTATTTCTTGCTTTATAGTTTTTAACTTCTGTTTGCTTTGAAGAATGGGTTGTTGAATCAGCATTTGTTCATTTTTCTACTGTAATATCTTGTATCATGTGATTTTATTTTTAATGTCATGAAAAATTGAAGTAGATCTAAATCTAAGGAATATTCTATTCTTTATATTTTATAACTGATATGAGTTGAATACTATCAAATTGCAAAATGTTAGAGAAAAAGATGATTTTATTTAAAAGAAAATAAGTATGAATGTTTTGTCACGGTTTACTTTGAAGTACACTCACCATGTCCTCTGATGAATTTATATGATTGATTCATATAAAACAATGTTGTTAATTTTT